ATTTGCAAACACAAATAGTGCATAAGTAAGCGTTAGAACTTTAAAGAAGAGCGCCCAAAACTATGCAACATTTCGCACAGTCGCTCACACAGACACTTAATGGACCAAAGTAATTGCGTAGCCAAAAATGCTAGCACATTTTACTTTATATATGAATATGAAAATCTATGTATGAGTTTGTGTATGTGTGTGAAATTGCAGCACACAGAGGCACTGCAGTGGCAATGCGCCAAAGCCGTAAGATTTTAATTATTCACGCATGCATAAGTAACTTGAACACGTTTCGGCAATAAAATTTCAACAGTTGAGAAGTTACAACCACAAAAAAACCAAAGCAAACTATTCTTAATGTGTGCGAAATAGATATGAGACTGCAATACACAGACACGCAGATTTTCCACAGAACCAAAAAAAAAAACAAAAAAAAAAAGCTTAAAATTACACAAACGTTAGACATTCAAATGCGAGTGCACTTAAATGAAACTTAACTGGTATTTTATGGCTCTGCAAGTACGCTCTTTTGCACTTATTTAAAATCTTGACGGCGAATAAGACGCACAAATGCTACAACACGCTCGACTTTTTATTTGCATTGCAGCTTACACATCAACTACACAGGCACATACGTGCATATATTTATATGAATTTAATATAATATATATGTCTGCAGCGTCGGCTTAAAGCATTTGTATAGCGGATAGTCGGTGGTTGGCTGAAGTGCGATAAAACTTTGTCTCGACACCCAAAAACTATTTGTATGCCAATGCATTCGCACAAAATATGATACAGTATCCTATAAAATATATTACTTGCATAGAAAAAATAGTTAAATGTCTAGCAATACAGTTATGCATGCGTGCAAGTATATGTGCGTTGCATATGTGTGTGTGTGTGTGTGTGTGTGTGTGTCTGCGTGTGTGGGCTTAGCACAACCGCAGACCATGACATTGGCAGCAAAAATGGCAATAATGTCGAGCAGACAGTAAAAATCCCCAAAATATATCGTGGCTTGGTAAATGTAAAAGTCATGTTATTGCGGTGATATTGCATTCTACTGATAGAAAATTTGCTTGCTTTAAGTGTAGCTATGCATATACATATTGAATACACTTTGTCTGTGATTGTGTACGCAAATGATTCAAATGAAATTTTACAAAATTTTTGTTTGCTCATTTTATATAATACTTGTACATATATATAATTGTGGTTGTATGTCAATGTTGTACCGTAGTCTAGTTACTTTTGCCTTTATATTATCTGGTACAACTGTTACTAACACTGCTTGTTTGGGCAGCCGCAGCCTTAGTATGATATATGGACCACAAAAATACGATTGTCGGCAGATATTTTACCCAAGCTGATTTAATGGCGAAACATGGTGTTTTAAATATTTTAATTTTAGAATAAATAGTGAAAGCAAATTTGTTACTCATTCTTAAAAGCGAAGCGTTCTGGTGTACCATAGCGTATGAGTAACATTTTGATATGTAATTAAACAAAGCAACATAATTAGTATAGAAAAAATATTAAAAAAGTTAGAAAAACATAAAAGAATCATAAAGATTCAATAACTATTTAGTATACCCTACGTATGTCATGATAATAGCTAAAATTTCCGTCGCTATTTCGCTTGTTAGAGCTTAGTATGAGGTTTGAAAGATTATTCGGGGGCGCGACACTAGCCTAGTTTTAGTAGTTTTTAAGAGATCTAACTGATATTAGGAATTAATTGTTTATAAAATCAAAACTTTTATCAAACGGGTTGTAATAACGGAGTGGCAGTCAAGCGCGGTACTATGAACTGAGATATGTTTGGGTAATTTCATGTCAAATCGACAAATAGTGGTACGCGACCCCCACCGATTCGAATGAATTTTGGTGGAAAGTTTTGTCTTATCATAAAACGAAGTTCTGCCAAAGGAATTTTTTTTTTAATTTTCCCGAAGAGTTTATTTATTTAATATTTCAGAAACTACTGTATATTAAATAAAGAACGCTGGTGCGTTTTCAGAGGTCACTTAGAGGTATGAGAAAAAAATTAGTTTGAAAACAAATTTTAAAAATTAAAAACATTTTCATTTTTTAAAATCGTAAAAAATAACCAACATCGAAAAATTTTATCCTACAAAATGTTTGTATTATACCTCTAACTTATCTAACAAAATTCTGAAATTTTCAGAGGGGTGTTCTTTTTCGTTTCAAAGGTATGAATATTTGTATTTTGGTAAAATAGTTTTTTTCTATTTTATCAACTTTTTATAATTTAAAATATTTCTCTAATGTTAATGGGTTGTTAACATAATATTAAATAAAAATAAAAAAAGCTTACATAAATAAAATATTTTATTTTTATTTTATATATAATATAAATCATGTGTCATTTTATTTATTTTCAAGCTATTTTCGCCTACTTTACGCCAAATGTTAACTCATAGCTACTTTGCATATTGATATTTTCTTAATTTTCTGCTTTTCAAATTGACTTTGCTGACTCTTACTACAGCATACTATGGTCCACTCTCCAACTACTAAATATTATATATATGCTGAAAATAAATATTTTCTCCATTTTCTTTGCTTCGCCTTTTAAACAACTCATTTTCATTTCATTAACCACACTTAATTTTGCTTATAGCAAAACTCATTCAGTTATTCACTTACACATACAAGCAACAACTTTGACTATCACTGCTCGTGCCGTCAAACGGCAGGAGCATATTGCGCTTACGACAGCCCTCAGAATTCAAGTATAAAATTATCTTTGTATGTGTATTTGTATTGTCCACTCATGCTCTCAATCACATAACATTACATGTATTTAAACTATTATAAGTTGGCATGAAATGTTATCGATATTGAATTTCCACTTGATCGCTCGTACGCCTAGTAGACAGACGCAGACATGCTGAAGACAGACCGACAGATTTCCGTTGTTGCGTGTCTTTTGTCTGCGCCAACATGCATTGGCAGACCACGCGCGTGTTCACTCTCAACGAAAGCACACCAACGTCACTTATATGCATACATATATATATATATATTATAAAAAATATATATATTATATATATATATGTGTATGCGCTTATAAAGCATACTTGGTTATCAGGATATAGCGTCAACATTACACGCAGGCAACCAACTCATTGCCATTCGCCGTTTTGATTTTCAGTCTCGAACTTTTTGCGTTTCCCTGTTGCGGTTTCTTCGTTGCTTTAATTTATTTTTATTTTCTTTTACTACTCCCATTTTTGTTGGGTACATCACATAATCGAATTATCATCATGGCGTCAACAAATGATTTGTTTCTGCTGCGCAACATTATCCAGGGAATACAAGGGTTTTTTTTTAGTAGCTCTCGCCTGCCCGCTCAATGACATTACTTACTGTAGCACTTCTTCTTCATTTTTTTCCATTTGACTTCGTCCAGTGTCGCAACACCACCAGCCTTCCGCTACCACCGTTGCCATTTTTGTTTGATTACAAATCCGTTTGATTCGTAGTGATACATGCATGTATTAGTATGCACGCACACATGCACAAGTGTGCGGGTTAAGGGATAAAAATAGAGCGTTTCATTTGGCAAATTTTTGCATACAATTTCGACTTTTTACACACACTTGCTGACACACACGTTTACATGTACGCTGCGCTGCGCCCTCACCCTCGCTTTGAGGTTATGTTCGTTGTCAGTTCGTTTATCCTTTTGCGCAAATCCTTTTATACAAATGAAATTTGAGCCAAAAAGGCGATAAGCAGCAGTCGCCGTGCCGCACCGAAAATGCCAAAAGCTAACGCTGTGCTCTGTCGCCATATTGGGGTCCGCTGACGCAGTGTCGCTGTCATCTAAACGCCGACGTAACACATTTACATATGTATATCGCAACGCCATGTCTTCTTCTGCAGCCTTTTGTTCTTTAAGCACAACTTCAATCACCAGTCCATGGCAGGCAAGTCAGTTGCAAATCCTAACGCTGACGCTGTCCTGTCCCTGACATTAACACGCAGCAAAAGGACTTCAATGGGCAGCGACGCGTTTTTTTTTTTTGCTTGTCGCTTTAATGCTTTACTTTCTTTTTTCAAGCATTTGTATTTCTTTTTATAGTAGTTTATTTGCTTATGCGGCTATTCAGTTGCGGCTGTAGCTTGTTCGTTAAGGAAATCGAGAATGGAGAATTAGGTGTGATTTTAATGGTCGCCAGTGTTGTCGCTTAGTTCCTTTTTTGCTAACGGTCCCTTCGCTTTTCACTGGCTTCTGATTACATTTGCTATATTTTCGGGTTTTGTTGCTATTTGTTGTTGGTGTAAACAACTTTTTATGGCTTAGCTTTACAACTACAAGTTGGCATTTTTACGGTGGGTTTCATGGTCAAATGATTTAATTGATTTTAGTTAATGTCCCTTTTATTTCACTTCTTTTGTGTTGACTATAATCCTTGCATTGCTAATGTGATAAAAAATACCGTTATCCTTATAGAGCACGAAGCAAAGAAATGTACAAAGATATATTTAATGTCAGCATTAAATCCAAGGATTTTAGAAAAAATTGCAAAAAGAGCTAAAAAAATCTTCAAATATATTCCAGAAAATAACATTTAATGTGTGAATTTCTTTCTTTATAGTTAACCTATCGAATATCACTAAAGTCGAAGATATACAAGTCACCGAACTGTATGCAATGCCATTTGTAGGTTCATATCCCGACCGAGAGAGAATAAAAAATTCTAGAAAATTATTTTTTTATATTATAGTTACCTCATGTAACACCCTGTAAAAGCTTGGGAATATATTTTTTGTTCATAAATCTGCAACACCAATACGGCTTTAGAACTGCAAAGCCTTCTCTCTTACGAATAGCACGAATTTATAGCAATAAAGCCGTTATTATGCAGCAAATAAAATCTAACTGTGGACTTTCTAGTATTTTGGTTTTACATTCTAGATATAAACATATAAAGCCTTGAACTATCTCATAAATCATTTCGACCAATTTTTCTTTGCAGATATCAACAAAGGTTCACCCATCGATTATAAAAGCGGCTCGGCCTGCTCAACACCTACAAAAGACACACTCAAGGGTTACGAGCGCAGCACGAATAATTGCATGGGACCCGTGCTTCCACCGCGCAGCGTTATGAGCGGCCTGCCTGCGCACCACTACTCAACACCGATGAATTTCCGCAAGGGTTTGGCGGCGCGCTGGCACCGCTGGCGGTGTGCGCTCAATATATGTTTGGCGGTATTTGCGTTACTCGGCTTGATTTCAATAGTTCTATATGGTAAATCCACAGCAACACTCTCCATCTTACATTGTTATAGCACGCACTTTAATTGATTTTCATTTAGGTTTTATTATTATATTTTCTTGCTTTTCTTTAATTAAAATGATTTTAATTAATGCTCATTTATTCACTTCAACATTTCTTCTCTCTTTCTCTTACTCTCTCTCTTTGCAACCTCACTTCGCTCAGTATCCGGTGTATTACACTTATCCATGGACGAACCACGCACAATTCTAGTCGGCAATGAGGCATCCGAAGTGACGGCCGCCAAAAGCACTAACACGGATCTAACGAAATTCGGACAACCCACCACGGTCACAGCATCAACGGCAACCTCATCGCTCTCCTCGATATCGGCATCGCAAGCGGCAGCAGCGCAGGCAGCCAGCGGTAGCGCTGACTTGTTGGGCAATGGTGGCGGCGGCGGTGGCACCTTGCCATCATCGACCGCCTACCAATCACCAGCATCTGCGTCGTCGGCAATAGCTGCTATTGGTACGACCGGCGCCATTGCCTCGTCACCCTCGTCATCGTCGCTGGCAAATGCCAATAATGGAGGTAATTATTTTGAAGTTTTAATTATTTTTAAATGAGTTTCACTTGCTGGCGCTAAGTATGACGTTGAATCGGCGTTGCAAACGAAAGCGCTGAGTATAGACTCAGCGCAAGCGAAATCAACGAATAACGGTGTAATGAAAATCAGTAAAAAGTGTATGCCAAGTGATGACATAGACATTGAAGGTGGGGCTTGTAGACATTGTCTATTGCGAAAACAAAAACAGAAAAACATCGACAGCCAAAGTTTAGGCAAAATCAAATGAATAAATTGTCACTTGAGCAGTGTTAACCAGCAAGTGCGCCCCATTCCGACGCTACAGATCGTCTAGCCTGACGTTGTCTGCTACATAGAAGCGCGCTACACTGCTTTGGTGTGGTTGACTCACATTATTGTTGCCAAAGGATCAGTTATTGTGCAGCCAAAAAAATATATGCTTATTTTCTATGCTTTTCCCATTCGATGAGTTTCGATTCATTTGTTTTCGCCTTTTAATTTTTATTTATTTATTCAACGCCGTCTGTTGTTGACACTTTCGACAAAGTTGTTTAACCATAAATAGACCACGACAATGGCGACAAAAGCGAAGAAAGCAAAACAGAAAAAAAGAAAAAAAGCGAAATGTGTTGTAGTTGTTTACAAAAAAAAAGCGCCTCAGTAAATATGCGACAGGATGCAGCAGCATTGCAATTACAGGTCAACTTTGTAAGCCGGAAATTGACGCCGGGAAGTTGAGACTGCAAGAAAACTGACTGCATAACTGGGATTTCAAAAAGTGAGATTACGCTTTATTCACGTATTTCTACTCGTTTTCATCTGCTCTCTTTCGAATTAAATTCCTCAGTTGAAAATAATTTAGTTTTCTGTATTTGAAGGCGCCGAAATTTCGTAATTTAATGCTAATTGAAGATGCTGCAAATTGCTATTGAGGTAATGGCCAAGTGCATCATGCCTAAAGTGTATGCTCAAGGCGTGTTCACACTATTGGAAAAGTAATTAAAGCACAATAACGGAATAATTTTAAGTTATGCAGGTTTTCCTCGAATATTTCACGATTTGCATTGATAATGGATATAGCATCTTTGCTGTCTAAATAATTCATAAAATGAATAAAAAAGATATATAATATATCCGTCTCCCACCAGCGTGCTTTACGGTATTTTCTAAACATCTGCGCTCTCACTAATTTCATTTTTTACGCCATAAACGCGTGATTACTCAAATTAATATCGAAAATTATACACAAAGTCATTAGAAGTAAAACACGCAAATTAAATCAAATCAGATATGAGTGCAATCAGTGCGAATTGAATATGAAAAGCGGCAGCAAATAGTACAGTCAGTAAATGCCGCTGCACACTCACTTGTCTGCAGTTCATGAATATATTATTATTATTACAGCCTTAGCCAAGAAGCACGAATCACTAAAGATATTTTCAAAACACAGCCTAAAAGAATCTACACAATAAGCAATAAGCAAACCGACATTTAGCGTGGTTAACGTTTGGTTACGCCTGGCGCACTTGATTCCCTTGACGCGCTTTTGATTTCTTTCACTTTTCGTGCTTACAGCGACGCAATTTTTCGGGCGGCATTGCACTCATTGGTAAAATCGCATTAAAAACAGATTTGACACTGAATTTAGGCGCGTAGATTACACCAGGGCCCCCCCTCCCTTTCACTGTCTAAAAGCATTAACATAATTTGTGTAATTCGAAGCGAGCGCCAGCTACCAAATCTAAAAGAAATATTCATTAGTATCATAGGCTGATAAGAAGTTATGGGAAGGCGTTTTATTTAATTAAGGCGCATCTTATAGAATAATAAATATTAGAAAAAACTGTAAAACCAAATGTTAGGTTAATTGCTATGAAAATTTGTTTAAAAAATCCTGCGCCGTTGTCTCTAGACATTAGAAACGAAGTGCTACCTATGCTAGATATACTTGCCGCCTGGCCATTCCATGAGCGCGGCAACGCATACACGATACAACAAAAATGGCAGCAACAAACAAAGGCTAGCTCAGCAACAGGGACACGCCTGTCCTACGGTACACAACGATACGAACGACAACGACAGCAACAGCAGCAACGAAATAGTGATGGCGTAGCGGTAGGGACGTCTAGCAGTGACAAGTGGCAGTGGCAGAACTACCGGCAAAATACATATGAACAGCAAAAACCGAAGCAACAACAACCGTTGGTAAAAGTCCAAACGCCATTCAACGCCATGCGGCAACAACATGGCGCGCGAAAAAAGCGTTATCGTCGAAGTTTAATGACAGACCAAACTTTTGAAAGCATCGACTTAATTACGAGAACGCATACGAGGGATGATGATGAAATGAAAGCGTACAAGCATGATATAAACAGCAAGTATAATAGCAAACATAAATTGGAGAACGGCAATAGCTTCAGTGTTGATAAGGCAAAGGACAACAGCGCCGATAGCAACGGCGACGACAGTGAACTGTTAACTGTTGGCAACAGCGAGATTGCTGACAGCTTTGTAGTTACTCAAAAGACAATACCAAAGGCTGTGGAGTTGAAGTTGACTAACGAAGAGGTGATTGAGTTGATGGCGCAACCAGCAGGTGTGCGAAATTTTGTAGCTACAAATGCGACGAGTAAAGCGAATAAGCTAAAGGAAAGTAATACAGCAACGTTTGCTGAGCAAGAGCACAATAGGAATCGAACGCAGCCTACAGCAAGCGCTGAAAGCAATAAAACGGTGCAGACAACGGAAGCTAAAATGCGCTGTCTCACGACAGCAACATCAAGCGCGCCACATAAATCTCAAAAGCTGCCGCTGTCTAATACACAAACTGCAAGTAATTATGCTGTCAACGCGCTGAGCAATAAAGCAACCGAACTGTTACAGCAGTATAAAAATATTGCTGAAGCGCAGACTGATTATGACAAGAATAATAGTAATAGCATGCCCAACAGTAACCGAACACCAAGGCGCTTCAATATATCCGCGACACAAACTTTGCAAATCAATAACCTATTAAATCTCAATCAAAACCTTAATGATGACAAAGATATTGCCGCCGCTGCCTTCGTCAACACCGCTCCGACTGGTGTTAAAGGCGCGCCAGCCCAAACGTCTGGCAGTGAAATTGTTGCTGCTGCCAAGACTTCCGTTTCCGATGATGTGTCTGATGGGCAACAGTATGATGCGACATTGACGACAATTGCCAAAGTTTTGTCAAAGGCTTTTAGGGATAAAAATAATGAAGTAGCAAATTTGACAAGCGACGACGAGCCAAACGCCACGTGCAAAAATGATGATGACAAAACATACGCAGCAAACACAACAAAATGTGATGATGCGACTACAAAGTTGGTTGAGGAGAATACCATTAAAAACGATTCTACAACAGCAACAGCGTCGCACCCAAATATTGACCTCACGACGATTGACAACCGTGATATATTTGATGGTGATATTGATTATGTTGAAGGTGACACGCAACGTGAAGTAAGCGACTCTCATGCGGAATTTGTTAACATAGTCGATGAAAGCGAAGAATTTGGTTTTAAAGCGGCGACTGAAATTAATGAGATATCGATTACAAGAGGCGCGACACCGCGCGCAAATGTAGTAAGACTGCGCGCTAAGCGCATAGAAGAAACGGTTGAAGAAGGAGCACAAATAGCTGCCTATAAGCAAGTAAAAAGCAATTTGCGTGTTCGTAAAGCGAACGAACCGAGGCATATTAAAACGCTTAGGAAGCACTTTGGACGCCCAATACACGCGCCCGTCTTACTAGCGCCTGCGGCTGTACAGTTTCTCAATGTAGTTATTGATGATGATAGTCAAATTGACAGGCCACCAGTAGAAGAAGAACAACGCGAAATGCAGGAAAAAGTGAGCGACAATAAAGCCGGCATAAGGGCTGTGCAAATTGGCAAAACCATCGCCATTAGTGATAAAAATAAAATAGAAGGTAATCCGACAAAAAAATTCGAAAATAATGTGAGTCAGAATAAACGCTATGCGGGCGCGCAAGAAACTACAACGCAGCGACAAGAATTTGATGCGGCAAATTATTATCAAATCAATCGTCATAATAGCGCAACCGACACGGCGTTGAGCGATAGTGAAAGCGATACCAACGAAGCTGCAACTGATGATAACAATAATGAGCGTGATTTGGTTGACAGCTATGATGATGTCGGCTATGACGCGCGGACGCAAGCCACACCAGCGGCCACAGACACGTCAAGTGTCATAAAAATTGATAAATCCGAATTGAATGAGCAAAAAGAGTTGCAGCGCGCAGCATATGACGATGTAGATACACGCACGGAAACAAGTGCTACCGACGGAGCGTGGCAGACGGGGAGAGCGGTGACTGAAAGCGAACTGGAAATTAAGCTAAACGAAAGTCAAATGCAAAGTGGACGTGCAGCAATAATTGAAAAACACACAGCGATAGTTAGTGTTGATGCTGAGACAACAACAACAGCAAAAGTAATGATAACAGCTGATGAACGACAAATGATGGAGATAAATGAGCGAGCGTCAGTGGCTAGGCAAGAAGCTGGTAAAAGCGACAAGCAACTAGCGGTGGACGCAAGGGGCGTACAAAAAAGTAATGTAGTGGTTTTGAGTTATGAAAGTAAAAGGAAAGGAGATTTGCTGCCACCAGAAAATGTTGAAGCTGATAGCGTCTCAGCGGAAGAAGAAGCAGACATCGTAATGATAAGGACAACGTCAGAGCACACACAAATGAACGACAATCAAGCTGAAGAAACAGATGCTGCAGAAACAACAAAAAAACTGAGTAACAACAACGTAAAGGAGCGGATATCTAGTGAAGTTGAAGCTCAAGCGCATACAACAACAATGCAACCAACCAATTTAAGCGGAAATCAAAAAAATGCGTCACGAGCTGTAGTTGATGAAAGCAACTCGGCAGACGAGCTGATGCTTAATGACGGTTTAATGCCGCAGCACAACAACAAACACGCTAGAAACCACAATGCACCCGAAAACATAATCAAACGCAATAGTAATTTCAATGCAAACTCCCACGCTTACGCACCCAGCAATGACGACCAGCGTCTCATTGCTGAACCCAATGCGGACGACATAGATATTATCAAATTAGAGGACACACATTCGAGCGAGGATGAAATTTATAAAACCATCGAGGGTGTAGCCAACGGCAGCGTGCATGAGAAGCCGAAGTACATATACGGTAAACGTAAAGAAATTATCACTAGTCGGCCGCCGAAATATGCAACGCATGCAGAAAATGAAGTACTCAAAGGAGGTGTAGACACCAATGCCGCCAACAGTTACGCTGACAAATTGCCACCCTTTCCGCTCAAGGCGCCCATAGTAAGTGAAACATATGATCCGCCGAGTAAGCACATACTCGTGAATGTTACGATCGCCACCGAAGGTGATAGCAACTCGGTGTATACGCTACATGTAGCCGTACCCATCGGTGGACAGTCGCACGATCTGCAAGAGGTGCTAACACATGAGCGCCTAAAAGCGACACAGCATGAACTAGTTGAGGCACCAACGAATCTACACGACACACATGCCAATGAGCAATCGCCAATCAGTCCTTATTGCATACCTGAACCACCACCACCCATACCGGAATGTCCTTGCAAATGCGTTGACTTCTTACCGGTAACCGAAGCGGTTGACTCTGTTGACAACGAACAACACTTTGTGCCATTAGAGCATCTTGATGTCACCGCAAGCTTTGTTCACACTGCCACTGCTACCGCAACGACCACAGCGCCGAACAGTACCGACAATTTCATTCATCCACCATTCTCACCAATTGCTACAACCACAGCATCTATGTTAACTAATACCACTGTTAATGCCACTGAAGATTCTTTCATTTCAACAACTACCACTGCTACATTTACTAATTTGCTTGGTGTTGATGCAGCTCAAGCTGCCAGTGTTGATGATCATGTTGTTATTGGTGATGGCAGCAAAATTGCATGTCCTGATGTTATGCCTATTCTGATACTTGAAGGTGATTGTTTTTAATGGTTTATGGTGACTAAATAGTACTAACACCTTACATCGAACGGCTTGTAGACTAACAAATTGAATACTTTATTAATAAATTAACTTTAGCAAACTCTCAAAACTCTTCATAAATATATATATATATATACATCCGATGCGTGAAGGTGCATTTTATCCTCTCATTATTCATGACTGTGCAGTCCTAACCTCAAAAACTATATTTGTCTCCTATGACTACGAAAAAAATGTATAAAAAATGTATTAATCTACTCAGAAGGTTCTATCAATACTAACTGCATAATAATAGATATGTAAATATAAAATATATTTTAATTTCTTATAATTTATAAGCCGTAATACTTAGGTTTAACTTCTCAGGTGAAAAATGTCTACTAACTACATACCTTTAACATTAATCTTAAACTTTTAATTATATAAAAGATATGAGATTTTTCATTATTCATATTAACTTGTATACATAACATCAACATCACCTTAAGTACAGAAATTGGCAATGGGCAAAATTTAAACACATCACATAAAAAACTAAATAAAAATCATTATCATTAAATGTATTATATAATATAAGATGTTCTTACTACATGGATATAATGCTGTAAATACCATTTTTAGAATAATTGTTTCCTAAATATTTTATTTATCAACTTAAAACTCATCAAAATATAAAAACAAAACTAGTACATTACTTTATCTACAGCAATCAGAAGGATTTCTAAAGCGATCTGAAGCTTTACAATAAAACGGCTGAGAATTATATGCGCGCAAATAGCAATGGAAGAAAACTACTAAGTAATACATATGTAACATATGTACTATGTGATACCCGCTCTGAAATTTTTTTCAATACAAAATTAACAACAACTATAACGCATGACAAGCTCGCTCTGAAAAGGGAAGAGCATAATCTCCTACAACGCTGTATAACCAATACGCTTTGCTCTTTTGACAGCTACACGAAAATTTTAATATGGTGCAGATGAAGCAATGCAGTATATTACCAAACTGTGCGATTAACACCTACCGACAACTGAAGTGAAAAAATTACCTGACAAAATTTCATCTTACATATTTGTTTGAAGATAGAACATCTAAAAAAGTTAACCATTTACAGACTGTAATAAATAAAATCGACTCTTGTAAATTTACATACAAACTTGTAAATTTTCTACAAATATTATTTAATTGAATTAAAGATATATTTAAGTAAAAATAAATATTCAATTTCCATATCTAAAAACCGTACGCATTTTCCTTTTCTCTTCTCTCTCCCCTCACGCTTGTGTTACTCTCTTTGCGTACACTCATCACGCGCACCGCACTCATTAATGGCGATTGCATACACATCATTCATTGCATTTGCGCGTGCAATTTAACTCGCATATGAATCAAACGCGTTCTGCAACATGCTGCGCATGCATTCGCTCACTCACTCGCACATTTTACGCACAATTTGGAGCAGGTGCGCGTACTTTTCCGGCACGCAGTTTCCCACCAGATGGCACAACTTTTGGACAAATCACGTTAGGACAGAAACTAACCAAGGAGATACAACCGTATAGCTATTGGAATATGCAGTTCTATCAATCGGAACCGGCTTATGTGAAGTTTGACTATACCATACCGCGTGGCGCATCGATCGGTGTCTATGGGCGTCGCAATGCGTTACCAACACACACACAGTATCACTTTAAGGAGGTTTTGAGTGGCTTTAGCGCCAGCACCAGGACAGCGCGTGCAGCACACGTGAGTAGCTTTCTGTTTTCATATGCAATTAGCGAGTATTTTTAGTTGTATACAAAAAATTATTACATAAGCGCTTGTCATATGTGGTTAAATTTAGTTTATGGTCTTAGTTTTAGTATATTGCATAAATGTATCGTATTATTTGTCGCTTCAAACTGATTAACGTATAACTAATGCTTCATTAACCGAACTGTTTCTCTGTGTTTTTCTTGTTTCTCATCCCGAATACACCAAAATCAAACCGCTATACACACAACCATGTACACATATATGCGTTCCATGTTCCACAATCCATTACACACACCAACATCAAATCGACACATTTTCATCGCTCTCCGACGTTCATCGCTAAACGCTACACAATTGGCTTCACGGATTTAAACGCCATTTACTCTGCTCTGCATATTTGCGGCCATTCATGCCGCATACAGTTATCGATAACACGCGAAGTTACACGTTACATGGAGCCCGGTCACTGGTTCGTCTCGCTGTACAATGACGATGGTGACGCGCAAGAGGTCACCTTCTACGCCGCCATTGCCGAGGATATGACACAGAATTGCCCGAACGGTTGCTCCGGCAATGGACAGTGCCTGCTGGGCCATTGTCAATGCAATCCCGGCTTTGGTGGCGACGACTGCAGCGAGAGCGTTTGCCCAGTGCTGTGCTCACAACATGGCGAGTACATTAACGGTGAATGTATTTGTAATCCCGGTTGGAAGGGTAAAGAGTGCTCCTTGCGCCACGATGAGTGCGAAGTGGCCGATTGCAATGGACACGGTCACTGCGTGAGCGGCAAGTGCCAGTGCATGCGCGGCTATAAAGGCAAATTCTGCGAGGAAGGTAATGAACGCGTATTTTTCCAAAATTTTTTGTCACGCTCGAAAGTGTTGCGTCACCAAATTATTAACATTAATGAATTTTCTTACAAATTATTTACTAATTTTATGTATTTTTCGCTTTTCTATAGTTGACTGTCCGCATCCAAACTGCTCGGGTCATGGCTTCTGCGCTGATGGCACTTGCATCTGCAAGAAGGGCTGGAAGGGCACTGATTGCGCCACCGTAGATAAAGACGCCTTACAATGCCTACCGGATTGCTCGAATCACGGCAGCTTCGATGTGGACACGCAGACTTGCACCTGCGAGCCGAAGTGGAGCGGCGACGACTGCTCAAAGGAGCTATGCGATTTGGATTGCGGTCAGCATGGGCGCTGTGTCGGCGATGCCTGCACTTGCGATCCCGAGTGGGGCGGCGAATACTGTAATACTAAGCTCTGCGATACGCGCTGCAACGAGCATGGCCAGTGCAAGAACGGCACCTGTCTGTGTGTGACCGGTTGGAATGGCAAGCACTGCACCATCGAAGGCTGTCCGAATGGCTGTTCGGCACATGGTCAGTGTCGTGTAAGCGGCGAGGGACAATGGGAGTGCCGCTGCTACGAGGGCTGGGATGGTCCGGATTGCGGTATAGCGCTTGAACTGAATTGTGGCGACAGCAAGGACAATGACAAAGGTAAGTGTGTGCACTATTTTTTACTTGAGACATATTTTAAAATAAATAATTGTGGCATTTAAAAGATGGTCTCGTCGATTGTGAGGATCCTGAGTGCTGTGCCAGCCATGTTTGCAAGACATCACAGCTGTGCGTATCCGCGCCCAAACCCATTGATGTTTTGCTGCGCAAGCAACCGCCAGCTATTACGGCATCGTTCTTCGAGCGCATGAAATTCTTGATTGACGAAAGCAGCCTGCAAAACTACGCGAAACTTGAGACGTTCAATGAAAGGTTTGTTCAAAGCGTTTGCCAATTTATGCGTTAACTCTAGTATAATTGAGTATGTTTTAAGTTTAACAAATTAGCTATGTTGAAAAAAAATATTGCAAATAATTCAAGCAATATACAATTGGTGACAAAAATATTTTTTCATTTGATAAAAAGCAACAAAATTTTTGCATTACATAAACGCTGATGTTTTACTGTGTATAGTGGATGTAAATATCCTGATTAAAAAACAAAAAGAAGCAAGAACAAACTAATAATGCATAATGACAACTAGTTTGCCTTTTTTTAGTTTTTACGTTTTGATATTTTTCAGTTATCGTGCCCACGTCTAAAAAATCCCATCCCACAAAAATATCCCTTACAAACCTGAAAAACAAAACATATGTAAATAACTCCCACTATATGTCCTTTGTTTTTGCACCAAAAATACCCCAAAAGTAGGCAACAGAAGCCAAACAAAAAATAAAAAATCTTTACGAAAAACAAAGTGATGATGAAAAGCGCGCATTGAAAGCGCAAGCGCTGCGTTCTACAACTTCGTAAAATACACAAAATTATTTAAGGTTTACTCAGGCTTACATAAAACCACTTGTTTCCGAACTATGCTAAGAACTCGTGTCTTAGTTTCAGTTTTTTTTTTTTCTTTGAAAACATTTTACTTTCAAAAAAGTTGAAAATACAAAATGAATACAGTTAGATAACAATAAATATATGCAACGTATGCAATCATTAAACCAACGCTAATGCAATTAATTTTCTCTACTCTTTTCTCTTCTCTTACACGCGCGCCCTAAAACTGCTACTAACCTACTACTACCAACATCACTACTACTACATACTACCACTGCGTATACGTAACCAATTTACTAATAATTCGATTTGTTCGATTCTAATTGTAATCGTTTTGAAAATATGCATACCTTTCGGCAATTTCAATTCGCTAAAAACAAAAAATTACAAAAAATATTACAAAAAATATTACAAAAAACATTACCAAAACAAACAAATCGTTGAAAAAATCACAACTAAATTCATTAAACACTAACAGCATTTTTTGGAATTATTTCAATGCAAGGTAAGCAAAGCAAAAGCGCTCAAACTAAAATAACTAACTAAATACTCTTTAAAAAATTCAATGGTTGTTTGGTAAAATGATTTCTTAGCTATTAATTTTCTTACTTTGACATATTTTAACTCTGTCATAGCAGCTCGCTCATTTTACTAATTTGTCGTAATTACTCATTTCAATTTTCTAATTTCTTAGTTATTCGTCAATCACTTTATTTCTTTTTATTTTCAGTACCACTTCTTCATTGATTCATGTTTCTTTTTCATTTAACCCCTCACGTCTAACATAAAATCATCATGTTCAAATGACTGTGCGCCTCATTTTGGCCATGTAGCGCCATGTTAAGCTCTCAGTAGTGCATTTTTTTCACATATTTTACAACACTTCATTCTTTCATAATTTTTATTACAATAATTGCGCGCCTATTCTACAAACATAAGCGTATATTACGATTCCATGCAACCCTACTGCAATCAATCTAGGTTTTAGTTTCAATAGAAAAAGCAAAAAAAAATGAAAACAAATTTTAAAATACTGTTATGATATAAATACCTGAAAATGAACAAAACTTTGAAACTTACGAACACCTCGTAAACATACGTTCGTTCGTTCATTAGTTCGTTCGTTCGTTCGCTGTTTCGCTCGTTCAAACTTCGTTCAATTGTGTCTTATGTGTTAAGAAAGAGTCTATTTTATGTTTATATGTGCGTGTGTAATTTTACGATTTTTTTCACCTTATTTGCCGTTAATTTAGCAATTTACCGTTATTTATTTAAGTAGTTTATTTATAAATGTCAATACGTTTTTTAGCGCAACTTTTATGCATAAATTTTTTACGTTTTTCTACTGCTTGTTAGTAAGTTATTTTTTCTTAACTATTTGCTAGCATATTTTACTCTCCCCAGACAAAAATTTCGTAGTTTATAACATACACAAACATTACCAAAGACTTCACTAACTCTTTGCTGTTTTCAACTCTTTCCCCTACAGCCGTTCTGCTGTAATACGCGGTCGCGTTGTTACTTCACTCGGCATGGGTTTGGTTGGTGTACGCGTCTCCACCACGACACTGCTCGAAGGCTTTACGCTCACACGCGACGACGGTTGGTTCGATTTGATGGTGAATGGCGGCGGCGCTGTTACTTTGCAATTCGGACGCTCACCATTCCGACCACAGTCACGCATAGTACAAATACCATGGAACGAAGTGATTATCATCGATGTTGTGGTTATGTCTATGTCGGAGGAGAAAAATCTGATACCCATACCGCACACGTGTTTCTCGCATGACTACGATCTTATGAAACCGGTCGTGTTGGCTTCATGGAAACATGGTTTCCAAGGCGCTTGTCCGGATCGTTCTGCTATTTTAGCCGAATCTCAAGTCATACAGGAATCACTACAAATTCCCGGCACTGGCTTGAATTTAGTGTATCACTCTTCACGCGCTGCCGGCTATCTTTCGACCATAAAGCTCCAGCTAACACCTGAAACTATACCAGATACACTGCACCTGATACATCTGCGCATAACCATCGAGGGTATACTGTTCGAGCGTGTTTTCGAAGCTGATCCGGGCATTAAGTTTACCTATGCATGGAACCGTTTGAACATCTACCGTCAACGTGTCTACGGTGTGACTACAGCTATTGTCAAAGTTGGCTATCAATACAGCGATTGCAAAGACATAATATGGGATATACAAACCACCAAGTTGTCTGGCCATGACATGTCCATCTCCGAGGTTGGTGGTTGGAATCTTGATATACACCACCGCTACAACTTCCACGAGGGCATACTGCAGAAGGGCGATGGCTCCAATATCTACTTGAAAAATAAACCACGAGTCATACTTACCACGATGGGTGATGGCCATCAACGTCCGCTTGAGTGTAATGATTGCGAGGGCTTGGCTTACAAACAGCGTTTGCTAGCGCCTGTTGCCTTAGCCGCCTCACCTGATGGCAGTTTGTATGTCGGCGACTTTAACTACATACGTCGCATTATGACCGATGGCACCATACGCACGGTGGTCAAATTAAATGCCACACGCGTCTCCTACCGCTACCACATGGCATTAAGTCCACTGGACGGCACACTTTATATATCCGATCCGGAGTCACATCAGATCATACGCGTACGCGACACTAATGATTACTCGCAACCAGAAAAGAACTGGGAACCCATTGTGGGCTCGGGTGAACGTTGTTTGCCAGGCGACGAAGCGCATTGTGGTGACGGTGCACTGGCGAAGGATGCAAAACTGGCCTATCCCAAAGGCATCGCCATTTCCAGCGATAATATACTATACTTCGCAGACGGTACAAATATCCGTATGGTTGACCGCGATGGCATCGTCACAACGCTGATTGGTAATCACATGCATAAGTCCCACTGGAAGCCTATACCTTGCGAGGGCACACTAAAGCTGGAAGAGATGCATTTGCGTTGGCCCACCGAATTGGCCGTTAGCCCCTTGGATAATACCCTACACATCATTGATGATCATATGATTTTGCGCATGACACCCGATGGACGTGTGCGCGTCATTTCGGGACGTCCTCTACATTGTGCTACCACCTCAACCGTTTATGATTCTGATTTGGCTACACATGCCACGCTCGTGATGCCACAATCGATATCGTTTGGACCCATGGGTGAGCTCTACGTGGCAGAGAGCGACTCACAACGCATCAACCGTGTGCGCGTTATTGGCACTGATGGTCGAATTGCACCTTTTGCCGGCGCAGAGTCGAAATGCAATTGCTTGGAACGCGGCTGCGACTGTTTCGAGGCAGAGCACTTCCTAGCGACGAGTGCAAAGTTTAACACTATAGCAGCGCTTTCTGTTACACCAGATGGTCATGTGCACATTGCTGATCAAGCCAATTACCGCATACGTTCGGTTATGTCTAGTATACCCGAGGCCAGCGCGTCACGCGAATATGAGATCTATGCACCAGATATGCAAGAAATCTATATATTCAACCGATTCGGTCAACACGTTTCCACAAAGAATATTCTAACTGGCGAAACCACATATGTCTTTACTTACAATGTCAATACTTCCAATGGCAAATTGAGTACAGTGACTGATGCGGCAGGTAACAAGGTCTTCCTACTGCGGGATTATACCTCTCAGGTGAATTCCATTGAAAATACAAAGGGTCAGAAATGTCGTCTACGCATGACACGCATGAAGATGTTACACGAACTGAGCACACCGGACAACTACAATGTAACATTTGAATATCACGGCCCAACCGGCTTGCTAAAGACTAAACTCGATTCTACAGGCCGCTCTTATGTCTACAACTATGATGAGTTTGGACGGCTCACTTCGGCTGTTACGCCCACTGGTCGTGTCATTGATTTGGTATTCGATTTAAGCGTTAAAGGTGCTCAAGTTAAAATATCCGAGAATGCACAGAAGGAACAATCGATGCTCATACAGGGCTCGACAGTCATGGTGCGCAACGGTGCCGCCGAATCGAAAACTTCTGTAGAAATGGACGGTTCAATGACAAGTCTAACGCCATGGGGACACACTGTACAAATGGAAGTGGTACCGTACGCCATTTTGGCTGAGATCAACCCAGTCATTGGTGAAAGCTATCCAGTACCCGCAAAGCAGCGTACCGAAATCGCTGGTGATCTAGCTAATCGCTTTGAATGGCGTTACTTCGTGCGTCGCATGCAACAGGGCAAACAAGGCAAAGGACCACGCCCAGTTTCACAAGTGGGACGTAAGCTACGTGTGAATGGCGATAATGTGCTTACACTCGAATATGACCGCGACGCACAATCCGTTGTTGTACTCGTGGATGATAAGCAAGAACTCTTAAATGTGACTTATGACCGCACAGCACGTCCAGTTAGCTTCCGTCCACAGTCGGGTGACTATGCAGATGTCGACTTGGAATACGATCGCTTTGGTCGTTTAGTGAGCTGGAAATGGGGAGTGCTGCAAGAAGCTTACACCTTCGACCGTAACGGACGCTTAAACGAAATTAAATACGGCGATGGCTCGTCAATGGTTTATGCCTTCAAAGACATGTTCGGCTCGCTGCCACTAAAGGTGACCACACCACGTCGTTCTGACTACCTCTTGCAGTACGACGATGCTGGCGCGCTACAAAGTTTGACGACACCACGTGGTCATATACACTCATTCTCACTACAAACCTCGCTCGGCTTCTTCAAGTATCAATATTTCTCGCCCATTAACCGCCATCCTTTCGAGATACTATACAACGATGAAGGACAGATACTTGCAAAGATACATCCACACCAATCCGGCAAGGTGGCGTTTGTACATGATTCCGCTGGCCGTTTGGAGACAATTCTGGCTGGACTATCAAGCACGCACTACACTTATCAGGACACCACGAGCCTTATCAAATCAGTAGAGGTACAGGAACCAGGATTTGAGTTACGTCGCGAGTTCAAGTATCATGCTGGTATTCTCAAGGACGAAAAGGTACGCTTCGGCTCGAAGAACTCTTTGGCTTCGGCACACTATAAGTACTTTTACGATGGCAATGCTCGTCTCAGTAGCATTGAGATGTCCATAGATGATAAGGAGGTGCCCACAGCACGTTATAAGTACAGCCAAAACTTGGGACAGCTGGAAGTGGTGCAGGATCTGAAGATTACGCGCAATGCTTTCAATCGCACCGTTATTCAAGACTCTGCTAAGCAATTTTTCACCATCATCGATTACGATCAGCATGGTCGCGTAAAGAGTGTGCTTATGAATATCAAGAGCTTCGACGTTTTCCGCCTTGAGTTAGATTATGATCTGCGAAATCGCATCAAATCACAGAAGACGACTTTAGGACGTTCAACATCATTTGACAAGATCAATTACAATGCTGATGGACATGTGATAGAAGTCCTCGGCACAAACAATTGGAAATACTTGTACGATGAGAATGGCAACACTGTTGGTATTGTGGATCAAGGCGAGAAAATTAATCTCAGTTATGATATTGGCGATCGCGTCATACAAGTTGGAGAGATCGAGTTCAACAACTATGATGCGCGCGGTTTTGTGGTGCGACGTGGTGAACAGAAATATCGTTATAACAATCGCGGTCAACTGATACATGCTTTTGAAAGAGATCGCTTCCAATCTTGGTATTATTACGATGACCGCAGCCGTTTAATAGCTTGGCACGATAGTAAGGGTAATGTAACACAGTACTACTATGCCAACCCAAGAACACCAAAACTACTGACACATGTACATTTCCCGAAAGTGGGTAAAACATTGCGTTTCTTCTACGACGATCGTGATATGCTGATGGCAGTGGAGAACGGGGACCAGCGTTACTACGTGGCTACTGATCAAAATGGTTCACCATTAGCTTTCTTCGACCCGAACGGCATCATAATCAAAGATATAAGACGCACGCCATTCGGCCGTATCATCAAGGACACCAACCCAGACTTCTTTATACCGATTGACTTCCATGGTGGCCTGCTAGATCCCAACACCAAATTGATCTATACCGAAGGACGTCACTACGATCCTACAGTTGGTCAATGGATGACACCCAAATGGGAGACATTAGCCACTGAAATGTCCAACCCAACTGACGTCTTTATCTACCGCTACCACAACAACGATCCCGTCAATCCTAACAAACCACAGAATTACATGATCGACTTGGAGTCATGGCTGCAACTTTTTGGCTATGATTTGCGTAACATGCAAAGCTCGAAGTACACCAAAGATGCGCAGTACGTGCCACAAATTTCTATTAAATCAAACACACTGGCACCTGAATTCGGTGTAATTTCCGGTCTGGAATGCATCGTCGAAAAGACCAACGAGAAATTCAGCGATTTCGACTTTGTGCCTAAACCACTGCTAAAAATGGAACCAAAGATGCGCAATCTCCTGCCACGCATTAGCTACCGACGTGGCGTCTTCGGCGAGGGTGTGCTTCTTTCACGCATTGGCGGACGTGCGTTAGTCAGCGTCGTTGATGGTTCGAATAGCGTGGTGCAGGATGTGGTCTCATCGGTCTTCAACAACTCCTATTTCCTTGATCTACACTTCAGCATACACGATCAAGATGTATTCTACTTTGTCAAGGACAATGTGCTCAAACTGCGCGACGACAACGAAGAATTACGACGACTCGGTGGCATGTTCAACATATCAACACACGAAGTGACCGATCATGGCGGTACGGCTGCAAAAGAATTGCGCTTGCACGGACCCGACGCCGTGGTGATAATTAAATATGGTGTTGATCCTGAACAAGAGCGACATCGCATACTGAAACACGCGCACAAGCGTGCCGTCGAACGCGCCTGGGAGCTCGAGAAACAGCTGGTGGCTGCCGGCTTCCAGGGACGCGGCGACTGGACTGAAGAAGAGAAAGAGGAGCTTGTGTCGCACGGCGATGTAGATGGCTGGATTGGCATCGACATACACAGCATACACAAATACCCACAGCTAGCAGACGATCCAGGCAATGTAGCATTCCAGCGTGATGCTAAACGCAAACGAAGAAAGATCGGCAGCGGACACCGCACAGCGAAATCGCGCCGACAGCAATTAAGAGTGATGGATTTAAGTGCGTGAGTGGGCGAGACGAGCGAGAAAGCATACAAAAGAAGTCGTGTGGAAACAACTGTGACAAAACTGAATGAGCAACTAGTAAATGGTGGGCGTGAGAAAGATAAGCGAAGTTATGTTGATAACTATGCTAGGCTCGAAAGCTGGGTAGCAGGTGCCAGCGCAAATGAACTGAACAACATCGAGTCAACACTCTATTTAGACAACAACAGCAATAGCAGCAGTGATGATGATGACAACGACAACAATGACGACGACGAAGATAACGATGCGCCGCCGAAAGACGAACGTGAACTCATTGATATAAACGAAACTAACCACAACAGCAATGAGGAAGACTACCAAGACGAATACTATTATAATAACAACTACTATGATCAGCACTACTATCGCAGCAAAGGCACAGATACAGACGACTTATATTAAACAACCAAAACTACTACATACAAAACATATATAAAAAATTTAAAAGCAAATTAAATTTAAATAATTTAGTGGGTATTAAATTAAAATATGTGTGAGTACGTACGACTAATTACAATACAATGAGTAGGTATGTGTGAAGAAAAAAATCATAAAAAAGAAAAATTAAAAAGAAAACATAAAGAAATTTTGAAAATCAATATTTGCATGTGAAAATGGCAAATTTGTAAAAAGGAAAACAAAAATAATTAAGGAGTGAGGGTAAATGCAGCACTTGAAGAGACGCCAAGTAATTTATTTAACATAAAACAATAAACGAAAATAGTCGGATTTGATGCGAAAAGCTAAGGCAACAACTTCAAAAACTAGCAAAAAACAGAAATGCATGTGAAAGCAAAACGCAAATGATTGTAAACAAATTGGAAATCAGAAAGCAACAGTGAAAAGTATGTTTAGAATTGAGGTTATACATAACTTGTGCAGGCGTGCAATTAGTTTCAGAGAACTTCAGTTTTTGTATAAAGTAAAAATCCGTTGAAATGCCATACAACTTAAACGTTGTAAGTGGTGAATATACAATGACAGACTAGCAAATTAAGTATTGTAATAGGCAGCAATAAGAAAAATGAGTATTAAAAAATGGTAAAAACGAAGGAACTTAGTATAAACTGAATGTTTTTGTATAATTGCAGGTTAAGAAGGAAATTAACAAATATTTGGTGCAGAACAAATAAAAAAAGTAATTTAAAAAATGTTGATATACAGACAATGTGTAGTGAAATTTTGTTGTTTTTGCTAGCATTGTGCATTTTTTGTATTTTTTTTTATCAATTATTTACTATGCTGAAATTTATTTTTTCACAAAACTATTATTTTTACATTAATACAGTTAAAAGAAAATGTTTAAAGCTTTTCCAAATTTTAATTTTTTTTTAATTTTTGTGTATACTTTTACATTTTTACAAAATTTATTATTATTTGCTTCGTTTAATGAACTACGAACTCTGCTAACTGTACATTTGAATCTAATACACAGTTATAAACTTTTTTTACACTTCAAAACCTTTCCACATTAATTAAAAAGATATGCAAATCTTACTTCTGTTTGTCTATGCAATCAATCCTACTGCCTATTTACTGTGCGTTACTCACATGGCATGCACGCAGTGGCTGCAAAACTGTCAGCCTCAATTTCAATTGCTGATTCGCCAAACTATTGAACACTTTGCCAAACACTCACAAAAAACTGCATGTTACAGCGTAAAAAAGAATATTAAAATATATTGTGATACTCGTATATCTACATTTTATCGTATGCAACACTCGTCTCAAATATTTGTTGTTTTGTATATGTGTACTGTTTTCAGTTTGAAAAATCAAGCAATTATAGGCAGACTTTAATTTACACAATGAAACACGATTAATTTTTTTTTTAACTGTTTTGCAATAAACACAAACGTTAATATAAAATACCATATAATAAACAGTAAATAGTTTAAACGCTGACAAATGCCATTTATATTTTAATTATATTTACTTGTAACACTATATAGTTAAACAATATTTTTTAATATTTGTATGTATGTTTGTATATGCATATTCAAATGTATTAGTTATTTATGCATATTTTTTTCAAAGTTTTTAATATATTATGCATAAAAAATATTTTTTTTTTATTTTTTATAATGCATACTTAGTGTTTAAAATTGTAAATTATTTATTTAAATACACTTGAAAATTATAGTTTTACATAGTGTATAAATGTTTGCTTTAAATTTTTTATTATAATAACTATTAATAAATATTTTAAGAATAAAACTACAGTAAGTGCATGGTTTTCTGTTTTATTTTTGATATTCAATATTTTCTCAAACTTTTTTTTAATTTTTTTCAATTTTTATTTTATATTTCTTTGTTTAATTTTTTTTTGTCATAAAAATTTTACTAAGTATCAAAATTTTTTTTTATTTTTAATTTTTCGTATATTTGTTTTGAGCTAAAAAACATTTTTTACCATTAAAAATTAAATTCACGCAATATTGTTTATTAAATTTCAAGCCGTTACAATTTCAAAAAGCTGCCTTTAACGCTTTAACACACATTTTTAAAGACCACTTGCGACCAAAGTAGCCACTACATACCGTAAATAATAAATTGTACCATACGATATGGCCGGTATGTGAATTTTCTTTAAGCGTGCTTTCACAGTTTTGTAAAGCGTTCTTTACTTCCCACAAAATCATTTTCCACTTACTTCAGTGATTACCAGTGAAAGTGCAAGCTTGCAAGCTTACCTTCTACAAGTTGTGCGAAAGCGCGAAAGCTCGCATACTACATTTCAAGCAAGCTATTTCAATTAAACGCTGCATACGCAATAAAAAAAAAACCACATACTTGTACTCTAAAAATCAACAGTTATTTTCACAATTAACGAACTACATACTCGTACAATACTTACCGATATTCTCAACGATCTATATTTATGATTAACGAATTTTAATTATTCTCAATTATATGATTATGGTGTGAATAATGCTTGCGATATTTAAATTTGTATTAATGCTCTTATTATTATTACATACATGACATGATTATTGACTATTGATTAACCGCATCTCTAGTGTTATCCAATTAAGGAATTATTAGGTATAGATATAGAGGAGAATCAAATTGAAAGATAAAGCATACTTAGCTACATATACTATATGCATACACTTAGACTATAAGTACACACTGTAAATAGCACAAATGTCCCCCTAAATATCCTTAATTACCGTTAGGTGCTAAGTGATTAGATTAAATGCAAAATTCATAACAATTTGCCAGTAAAAACAAAAAAAGAAGTAAAGAGAAATAAAAATGTGGTCGTACAGACATATATTCAACCTTTGCATGTATACAGAACGATGCGAAATTGCTGTGTAAAATACATAGTAATTGACTAATGTGTTAGTAATTTTAATAATGAAGAAAGAAAAATCAGCAAAACGAAATGCATATTTTTTAAGAAAAGACAATTGAGAAGAAGAAGCACACACACACATGTGTGGTGGAGTTGAGAAAAGTAATAAAAAAATAATAATAATAATTTTTCCTTAACCCAATGTGGCGGCACAGTGCGTTTTAGGTATTCGATATCCACTTACGCAACCCAGTACGCTACATTTGAGATTAGAAAAGCAAATGCCACAAGGTGTGTAATGTAAATTAAAAAGGAACTTGTAGATTAATTAATATTAATTATAAAAAAGCTAGTTATGTAAGCAAAAATTATACTGTAAAAATTGCAATAATTTGAAAATAAATTAGTTATAAAATATAAGCAAATATTAAAGTAAGCAACTGCGCAAAAGAAAAAATGCAAAAAATATACCAAAATTATGACTGATACAAGGAAAATTGAAAAAAGAAAAAACACAAAAGAGAAGAGTAATATTCAAGCAAAATGCACAATGACATGCATGCTTATAAAGAGCAATGAACTTTAAAGTAGCGAAAGAAAACGAAAACAAAACTTAAAAGAATTGTGAGCAAACTCCGAAAAAAACGCAAAATTTTCATTTCACGCAGTCACAAATAAAACGCAAAGTGTTTTGTGAAAAATAGTATTTGCCCCACAACATTGCATTTTTTTTTTTTAGCAAAACAGCAAAAATTTTTTTTTTATATATACTTTAATTGTTTCAACTTTTTGTTTTTCGTACGAAATAAAATTAGTTGCTAAGTGGAAAAATGCAGAATATAAATATGAAAATAAAATAAATTGAATAAAAGAAAAACATTAGTTGAAGCAAATTGCCGCAAAAGCAGAATTAGCCAGAGATAAATGTGTACTTGTAACTGTATTAAATATGAAATAAAAAACTATTAATAAAATAAAAATGAAAATTAAAACCAACAAAGAAATTTGCATTCAATTTTAATGGTGGTAAGCAGCAGAGCAAGTAGGTATCATATTTATATATGGCACACAAATGTCTTATATGTTTGTAAAAACAACACAAACAAATGAAAAAACAAATTGAAACACACATAAGCAGCTGTGTAACTTAAAAGCAAGGTAAAGTAGACGCTAAACACAATAAATTTACAACAAAAACTTAGCGGTTTACGTGGCAAAATACACACTAACACCAATCGCCGCATACATACACACACAAATAGAAAGTCCGTTACAGCAATTCCACTGATAAATACTTAAATAAAATGTCTTATGTTGCTTTGCTTTGTTGTGAGCATTTTTCTAGCCACCAGTGTAATTAAGCAGCGCCTCCAAAACTATAATAGCTGAAGCGCAGTCTAAGCCGAAAATTCGGAAAAAAACGAAGAGATATAAAAAAAAATTTTAAAAACATATATGTGTGTGTGTAATTATGGTGTTCCGACAAGATTTTCGACAGTTTTTACATATCAGAGCACTTTTAAAGTAATGTTACCATAACTTTAAAGTAAAGTAGCATAACTTTAATATAATTTAAAATGTTTATTAAATGTTTAAAGTGACGTATGAGGTGTGTTCAAAAGATAACGGAAATTGTAAAATTTGGTGGGTTTGGAGAGTCCAATTGTCAAATAAATCGGAAGTTGTTCAGGCATCACTAAATGAAGTCAGCGACGATGCATAATTACAGAAACGTGTTATAACCGGTAACAAAACATGGGTTTACGGTTATGACTTTGAAACTAAGGCTCATTTGCCTCCATTTTATTCAATTCTTTTAACAAACGAAAATCACTAAGCTCATAAAAACACGTCTAAACTACGGGACTGCTTCAGACAAAGTAAGCAATGAATATAGCTGAAAATTTTATCGTACTTCAAGGGCATGTATATCAATATAATAAAAAAAATTTGACAGTTGGATGCTAAAACCCCGCGAAATTTTAAAATTCCTGTTATTTTTTCAACACATCTCCCATAGGTTTAATGAACTAAATAGATCCTTTGTACCTAGATGACAAAACCGCTGAGCATGCGAGCTTTGTATTGCCTTTAAATTGACTGTTCTCCCAAAAACTTCCAAGAAAATAGAGAAACTGTGAAACAATTGCTAGACAAAAATACTAAATGTGATCTGCTGTTCCATCATCTTCGATTCAATTGATATACTTGTATGACGAAACTTTTCTCTCTTCACTTATATCTACTAGACGTTCTATTCATCTACAGTACCTATTTCGTGAAGTGGGCTCAATTACAGGTAAGTTGAAAAGTGGGTAGTGCTCACCAAGAAATAGCACTACGAGCTCCAAGCACTTTTTTCTCAAGTTGGTAGTTGCAACCGCAACCACACCAGAAATAATTGAGCAAGTCCATAATATTGTTAGTGAAGTTCCAAATTTGACTAGGCGTGAAATTGATATTGCCATAGGCATTTCAGACGAACAAGTACTTATAACTATGAATGAGACTTGGATCTACCACCATGATCCTAAATTGAAATAAAAATGTTTACAGTGGTGAAGCTAGTTGTTCAGCTCCAAAGCAGGTGAAGCCACAATAATCAGCAAAAGACAATGCACCTGCTCACAAAACTGTTTTAACAACAACAAAATTCAACGATTTAAAATACAAATTGCTTAAGCAGATTCGACTCCCAGCGGCTACTACCTTGTCAGAAACTTGAAACAATTCCTTCGTGGCAAGCACTTTTCGTCGAATGAAGAAGCTATTACAGCCGTAGACGGGTATTTTGCAGAGCTTCCGGAAAGTCATTATAGGGATGGCTTAAAATTATTGGAGGATAATTCGAATAAGTGTATTGAAATTAAGAGAGATTATATTGAATATAAAAATATATTTCGTATCAAAAACAGTATGTTTTTATTTCGAGCACCGAAAATTTTCAACCAACCTGTAGACCATTTTCCGTTTTCTAGCAACTTCTTTCTGCTCATAGTTTTCATCTGCGCCCTCGTTTCCTTCGGTATCAGAGCGTTTTGTAATCAGCAAGCGTTACCCACTCTGCAATCTCCTTTCCAAACAGATTTCTGAAAAAATAAGATATCGGAGAAAATCTGGATAACAAGATATTTTAATATATAACGGGTGATCCAGGTAGAGGTACTTTTTAGGTTTGCCTTTTTTTGACAGATCACACGTGAGTCGTGTCAAGTTGTCATATTATTTTTGTTCAGTATTGTTTGACATTTTATCTTGAAAAGACTAACGCTTGAACAACGTTTACAAATCATTCAACTTTATTACAAAAACTTACGTTCTGTAAAGAATGTGTTTCGCACACTTCACCCAACTTATGGTCAACATAATCGGCCTACTGAGCGTACTATTCACAACACCATCATCCATCTTGAGACCCAGCATTCATTATTAGATAATATTCAACCGAATAGACCGTGAAGAGTCGATTCGGCGCCGTTCACGTTTTGAGCCAAATTTTGTTTAGCGATAAGGCCCATTTCTGGCGCAATGGGTATGTAAACAAGCAAAATTGCCACATTTGGGACGAAGAACAACCTGAAGAGATTCAAGAGCAATTTCATCCAGAAAAAACAACGGTTTGGTGTGGTTTGTGGGCCGTTGGAATCATCGGTCCATATTTATTCAAAAATGATTCCGGTGAGAACGTAACCGTCAATAGCGACCGTTATTGCGCCATGATAACCGGCCATTTGATGCCTGAAATTGAAGACGACCACTTCCCACACATCGTATCAATCAATGGATTTATTGAAAGAATACTTCGGTGATCAGATAATTTCACATTTTGGGCCGGTCGATTGACCACCAAGATCGTGTGATATCACACCGTTAGACTTTTTCCTGGGGGGATATGTAAAACCTAATGTTTATGCCACAATCCTACTTCGATTCAGACCTTGGTGCAAAACATCACGCGTGCCATCCACCAGTTACCAGTCGAAATACTCGATCAAGTCATCGAAAATTGGACTCAACGGATGGACCATCTGAGACGTAGCCGCGGCCAACATTTGAAAGAAATAAACTTCAAAAAATAAAATGCCAAAGAATGTTCTCTCGAACGATGATAAACAGTTTCCATAAAGTCTGAAATTTCTGTGTTTTTTCTTTAAAAAAGTAGGGTACCTCGAAATGGATCACCATACAACATTATTTTCTGCAACCAAAGCGCCAGACAAAAATCAACGGTTTTAATAGACAACATAGAAAATAACAACAAAAATATTCCATTTTTTTGAGTGGGTGCTCAAAACTCAGTCCGAAACCTGATTTTTTTTTTGTGAATAAATATTTTTGTGAGAGTTGCAAATAAAAATATTTTTTAAACAAAAACCTAATGTATATTCTACACACACAAACACACTTGTTTAAAAAAACCTCTGAACTATTCTTAACCAACGTAGGGCACGTGACGTCACAAGTTAGATTTGGTTGAGACGGCAAGAGTATGTGGCCGAAAAGAACGGTAATAAAGATGTGAGTAAATTCAAAGCACAGGTTCGAATACGGTTCGAGGAAATTATTAGTAATCCTTTTATTTTTATATAAAAATAATAACTTAAAAAATTTGCAATTAAAAAAAATTGCAATTGGTTTATAATTCCAATTAAATTTAAAATAATTATCAAGCAAAAATTAATCTAGTAAAAATACAAAGATGGACATAAACTCAAATCGATTGTGATGCATACAATACTTGTAAAACTTTGGAAAGATTGAACAAATGCCAGTTATTGTTAGGCAACCGTTATTTTTTCAAACAAAAAAATATAAGAATGTTTTCCAACAAGAAAAAAATAATTGTTGTTTTAGCAACCAGAAATGTTTAATCGATAATAATGGCCACACAATATTTGTTATAAAGTACAAAGTCACAATTACAAATTAAAAGATACGGTATCTCAGATAAATAAATAAATTCTTTGTGAGAGCAAAACAAAAACTCAAAAATATTATTTGAGACTCGAAACTGACAATTTAAATATTTTATTGGAAAAAAATTAAAAAAAAATATTCTGTAAAAATTCAAAATTTGTTGGACCAAATCGTGCAAAATTCCACGCAAAAAAATTAAGAATAATAAATTAATAAACATATTATAAAATTTAACATTGGCAAAACATTTCTTTGCAAATTTTTTGTGAAAAAAAAATTCGTTTATAAAATATAAACATAAACATAAAACTACTAAATGGTGTGATAACGCAGCGAAATGGCTAAGAAGGGTGGAGTGCAACAATTGCAGGCCGACATACATACTGACGAGGACTTTGAGAAGTTGCTCGAGCGACCCGGCTTATTGGGTATGCAGTGCCTCGTGCATAATAAAAAATGTTCACTTTCAATTATTTTTATTATTTTATATTTCATTATATTTTTTACGCTTACTTTTTTCGCTGATGTAGTGTTGGATATCTACTCAGAATGGTGTGGGCCGTGTTTGGGCATGGTTGGCAGTTTGCGTAAAATAAAATTGGAAATCGGCGGCGATAATTTACAACTCGCTATTGTATGTTGGAAATTTCCACTAAGTAATTTACAGTAAATTTTTCGTTTCTTTTTTTTTTAAGTGCAAAGCGGATACGATCTCTTACTTGAAGCGTTTCTGCAAGAAAAGCGAACCAACATGGATGTTCGTTACTGTAAGTGTAAAAAATTCAGTTCATAAAAAATTTAGATAGAAATAACCATGTTAGCCGGGGCAATAGAAGAAATGCAGTTAGGCTCGGCTTTAATACCGTTACTCACTTTCATGAAGCTAATATTACCGTATCATTTTTGTCAACTTTACAGAAAGGCAAAGCCACAAATCTGTTATTCGGCTCTAACACACCGAAGCTCATGAAACTGATAGCTCAAGAACTCGAATTGCTAAATAAGCCACGCACGTTCTATGATATTACCGAGCTACAGCCGGAGGAGGAGCGGCGTCGCAAAATAAAATTGGATACGCAAACAGAGGCGATAAATAAGGAGAAGGCGGCGAAGAAGAAAAAACGACATGATTATTTGAATATGATGACAGACACAATAATCGAGAACATACCCGATATGGGTGTGACTGTTTTTGGACCGCAAGTTAATCGCGATATGTACAAGAAGCTGCTCGAGCCGGCCGAAAACATGAAATTACAGTGTAAAGATCGACGCGTTATCAATGTGAGTCGTGCCGATTTCGATGTGGTGAACTATGCCTGTCCCAATCCCTTGTCCGAAGATGTGCTTGAGCAATTAGATCAAAAGGATTTGATGATGTGCTTTTGGAAAATGCCAGAAGATGATCGTCGACCCATACCAGAGGTATTGAACAAATATGCGCATGAATTGACAAAGGAACGCCATGAAGTGGACGATCTTACTGAAGAGGATATTGTGCATCCTCCAATTATAGTACCGATGGATTTGACAATTGAAATTGAATTACAAGGTTAATAATATTACAGTGTCATAAGGTTTTTCTTATTTTTGCTTGTACTACTTTCGCAGAGGGTGAAGAATGGGAAGAAGAACCAGAACCGGAACCGGAGCCACCACCTGCGTCCAAAAAAGCGCATTTGAAAAAAGAAGAAATACCAACGCCTGCAGCTGCAGCAGCAGCCGAGCCCGTTGAAGGTGAAGAAGAGGAAGGCGAAGAGGGCAGTGAGGGTGATGAAGGTGGTGAAGGAGGTGAAGCTGGCGAAGGCCCCGAAATGCCAGATCTACAAATGGAGCCATTTGATCTCGATTTCGATTTAGATGACGGCGAAGAAGCGGAAGACGAAGCCGAACCCGAGCCAGAGGTTGAAATTATTGTTAAAAAACGATATCGTAAGAAAATCATACGCATACCACCAATTTGGGTAGCGGGTAATGCGCGCACGCATGCGGCACTCATTTACGTATTCTTCCGTCAACAAACATCCGGTTTTCTGCCGCCCGACCCAGCGCCAGAGCCGCCACATATCATTATGGCTTTTGACGCGTATAAGAAACGCGATTTGATAAGCGTAATGGAGCGACTGAAGGACGATGTGCCGCGTTATGGCTTCTTTACCAGCGACGAAGCCGTAGATGCTAAGCTGATCGCGAATTCAGCAACGAAATATTCCGATTTGCCACAAAATCCGTAAGTAATACAAGCGTTTTAGCCAGCGTATGTGAAACTCACTGTATACGCGTTTTGAGTGCAATTCACCAGCTCGCAGTGCGGTAACTTTTATTTTTCTACATTCCACAGCACGGACAAAATTGTATTCAAGGTTAACAAGCAAACATCACATACAATGCTTTCGTTGGCCACATATGGACCGAGCTATGTTAGTCCGGACGCTGTGATTGGACATGAGGAGGCGCTTAAATTCTTCCCAGAGAGTTACAAAACAGCCGAACAAGAGGCACTCGAAATGGCCGAAAATCAATTTGTAAAACCGAAGAAGAAGAAGGTAAAAAGCTAACAAAAATTTTATGTGTTGCCTATTACATTAGATTTTATCATATACGCCTTGCAGAAGCGTTCATCACTACATAACGTCAAGAATGAAAACGCGGAGCAAGCGCCTGCAACTAGTACTGAAGAAAGCGGTGAAAGTCGACCAACAACTGCACCTGAAGGGGAAGAGGTAGTTGTAGCAGAAACACAATTAGGCGAAGCGCCACCAACGGATGGCGAACCACCGCCACCAGCAGCTGGAGAGGTTGATGAAGCGCCACGTGAAGGCAGCATTGCTGCGCCAGCAGATGGCGAAGCAGCACCAGCAACAACAGCTGAGGAAACTGCACCAACTGCAGAGCACACTGATGTTGGTGGCGGCGGTGAAGTAGCGCAATCTGAACTACCAGCAGAATCAGAGGCACACACGGAAGCGCCGGCAGAGGCACCGCTAGAAGAAGCGCCGCCTGCCGAATAAAACCCACAAAAAAGGAACAAAAAAAAATAAAATCAGTATTTTATTTTGTATTGATAATTTTTTGGAATTTATTTCAAACAATATTTATATATTCGTAAGTGTGTATTAGTTTGTATAAAACATCTATATATATTCCTTATTTTCAGCATTAAATACACTTTAGTAATTCAAGCAAAAGCATATAACATAGATAAATAATCTTAGCTTAGCAATGTATTTAGAAATATTTTAAAATAAAAATAAATTATGATTAATTTGTAACCAAATACATAGAACTTTTCAATTCAATAATTCAAGGGATCACGTTACCACAGGAAGTTTTTAAAAATAACTAAAAAATTAAAGTGTAACAGGATTATTGACTTTAAATTCAACAAATATAATTTAATTTATGTGAACAATATATTACATAGATAAATACATATCATATATATAATATATATGTATATATAGGGTTTATAGTTATTGCATATTATTCAAAAAACTATCTACAACCCGCGTGATGCTGCACTGCTAATGTTAATATGTAAATTTACTAAATACCACATTATTTAGCTACATAACGGTATATGCATAATTAACGCTTAGCACGCTGCCAAATAAATGGCTAAAGTGCAGCTGCCAGTGCTGCCATTTTAAATAAACGCGCCGAATACCATTTGATAGCATGAAGTGAAAACCGTTCGGCGATTCGCCAACATCTGCCGAGGGGAGAACGTTATAGGAAAAAAAATTTCGGTGCATGCAGCATATCCAATTTCTTTACGTTGTGTAGCATTCAAAAACATTACACAAATATTTATGAGGCATACTGCTGAGTTTTGCGTTCTTTATCGGCTAAAAATATGTATCCATTACGGTTACGTAAACACGATTGTCGTGGAAAACGCAACTCTTTTTGCGTGCACTACAACACGGCGTTCATTAGCTTATTTATATGCATTAGCATTTACCATATACATAAATTCGGGATTACACTTATGAGAAAACCATTTACTGTTTAGTAGAAAAAAGATTTGCGATCCATGTGGAATATGCGTAGAAATCCATTTTCGTAGCCAGCAGCCACCAAGTGTTTGCCGTGATTATTGATATTACACTGTATAGTATTTATACGCGTACAAGTTGTTAAGTTTACAGGCACACGACGTTGCTCGCTGAGATATTGCGCTTTGAGACTTTTATCAATCTAAAAATAGAAAAGCATTATAATATACTGAAATGTGTATGCGCCTATATTTAAAATACACACCCTCGTTACTGGACCGAATACTAGTCCATATTTCTCATTGCAATTCTCTTCGATGAAACTCCAATCCGCTGTCGTAGATTTTGCATCGAATTTCGGTATATCCGCACCGTTTAAGCATTTCATATCCATTATGCCCACTGCTTGAGAACTACGCATCGAATCGCGCAGTATTTCTTTTAAATGCATCTCGCGTAAATCCAAGAGCACCACATCACCATTATCGGTGGCATTGACGAGTACATTCTGTAAGGGGTTGTAATGTATTTTATTGACGCCAGCGTTCATTTTGTCGATTGTCTCATTTTTGAAAACAATATTCGACGGATTTACAGCAAATACGCAGCGACCATCTACGTGTAGATATTATATATAAATAATAATGTTTATATGCATTTTCTAAAATATATATGTATACTCACTGTTGGGCAATGAATCGCCCATTGAGATCGCTAGCGATTGCCAGATGGGCGACCATTCCAAGTCGGTACCCTCATTTTTGGTGATTTCCTCCTTTAAAATGAACGGACGACTGAAGTGATATAGATCGTACAAAATCAACAAGCGTCTGGCCACAATCACGGCAATCACACGCACGCCTGAGCTGTCATAATGCAACGCCATGGCTGAAAGTGTTTTAGTAATGCTAAGTTTTTTGCAAATTTTTTATTTTTATTTTTATAGCAGCACAAATTACCTCGAACATTCTTCTCGCGCGTGTAAAAGAAATTGAGTGGCACATAATGCGGCAGGCCATCGATAATGAAACGATTTATATTGCTAACGCTGCTAACATCCCAATAAGCGACACAACCGTTTGCGAAGCCCGCAAATATATGCATATGCTCAGCAAACTAAATTTTTAAAGAAAATAATTTAAAATAACTGAACTTAGTTGTGAATTGCATTTGCTTACCTCGGACCAACACAGCGCCGTGCATTGTGTGTCAACAAACGGATGTTGGCTCAAGTCTTTTTTGGAGAGATCTATTGCCAGCAACCAAACTGGCTCCAATTGCAGCGTTGTAAAATTTTCTAAGTGAGTCTCAGTTTCTTCACTTAGCCGCTCATTTTCAACACACAAAGGCAACGCATAAACCTTAATGGTATTTTTTGCTGTGCCCACAGCCAACAAACCTAGACGATTGGCATGCGCATCATAACCACCGCTAGGTAAAAATGCCAAGCAATGCACAGGCGCATCGGTTATATTAATGGCGTATTGTAGCTGTAAGTCGCATGACTTCGACGTGTCTGCTGATGTGACTTTGTACAGCCAAAGTAATGTGTTGCCTATTTTCGGACCCTTGAAACGCGTATATGCACGTCGTGTGCTAATGAGCAGATATTGCTCCTTGATGTCCGTAGGTAACGGCAACCAGGTCACAGTTTTTATAGCTTCGCCCAGAAAAGTGAATTGTTCATCTGAAGTGTTGCATATTTTTTAATGATTACGATAACAATAAAATATTTTATTTACTACTTACTCTTCACCGAGGTCGTCTCTAGACGTTGCAATTGCGACCATTTCAAATCGCTCTCTCCTTTGCCAAAACTTGTATGCGGTGAAGATTTGCAAAGTTTTAAGTCGGAATTGTAATTGAACTTCATGGAAGTTGCCGTAGCCGGTATATAATTCTCATACTCGCTGCGTGCGCAAATCGTGTACTTAACGTTGACGTCACTAAATAACGGCGCTGTGCTATAGTTTTGCGTAACACTGTAAATATATAATATAATGGATAATATTTAAGAAGCTATAAAATAACAAGAAAAAACGTTAACTTCGGTTGCAGCGTAGCTATAATACCCTTCACATATACAACGGTTTTTAGCAAGAACTTGATTTCGATATAAATCAACTCAGCTCATCATGCTGATCATTTATGTATATATTTTATAGGTTCTTCGACGTTTCCTACTGGGTGTTACAAGCTTCGTGGCAAACCTAATATATCCCGTTCAGGGTATAAAAACGAGTATATAAGAACTTACAATTCTTTCCACAAGAGTCGAGCAGTGCCACTATAATCCGGTTCCCTCGGTGGATGCACTGTATGGTTACAAAAAAAAAACAAAAAAAAAACATTAATTCATTCACTTTATTTCAAGATCAAATTAACCACACTTACGTCTGTCCGCGCTTATTGAATTTGACCAAGCAGTTGTTGTCTTCTTCTTAACAGACTTTTTCTTTCGCACGTTTTTTCGCACTGCTGTCTCCCCGGAGGAACTATCACTCTCATTATTATTAGCATTATTCTCTTCATCCGAATCCACACCAGAAGACACATCATCATCTTCACCGCTCGATTCATCATCGGTTTTAATTCCGCAATCCGAATTATCGCCCTCGAAATCTTGATCGACTTCTATACTCTTATGCTGTTGTAAAATATGTTTTATCACATATTTCGTGCAACGATAGAATTTCGTCGTTTTCGCACAGAGCTTACAGATATAAACACCTTTCGAAACGGTTTCCTTTAAGTCACAGCTTGCAAAATGTTCTTTTATGGCGCCTAAATCCTTTGCTGTGAATTTACAACCTTGTGCTGGACATTCAGCTGAGCCCGTTGTTTCTAGATTTTTCGCGACCGTTTCCATAATTTTTTCAGCTTCAACAAACTCAACGTGCTACAAATCAAAGATTAACTGCAAAGTTTAGAAACAACCACATTGCAAATATATACAGCGTGGACTACTCACGTTTTTGGCATCTTTGGTGCAAAATATTCCAGTACTTTGAGAGTCTTTGAGAGCTTTCAGCATTTTTTCCGCCCTTTAAGAATTACATGTGAAATATGATAATTAATAAATATAGCGAATGAGTATAAAGCTTATAAATCTTTACATAACATAACTTACTTTTGCACCGAAGCTCGTTTCAAACGTCCCACATTGTTCAAAACGGCTTCCTTGTTCTCATCTGCGCCTTCTTTAGCCTCTGTTGCAGTCTCGTTAAGCTCTTCGTCCTCTATACGTTTGCTACATGAACGCATATGACTTACAACGCTAAATTTCGAGTATTCTTTTTTACAGTAATCACAGGGTGTGCGCGTGTCCGTAGCACCGCAGATCTCTATGTGTAGCAGCGTGCCCAAAGCTGAGCGATAGGTGCGTTGACACATGCGACAGGTCAGCGGATATTTGCCAACGTTTGCTTTCAGAAAAGCTGTCATGACCTTCAGCACTTCATTGCGGATCGTCACATTCTGCAAAATTTGTTTTACACTCAATTAAAATTCATATATATTAACACTTTTTTGTACTCACAATTGGCGTCATTTCGCCCACTATCCAACCAACACCATAATGCGTGGCCAAATGTTTCACCCAGGTATCGCGTTGCATTTGTTGCAAGCATAGTCCACATTGTATCAAAGTTTTTTTCGCAGTTCTCGTGCCAGTGAGTGCAGTGAGCACTTCGTCGGTATCGAGTTGCGAACGATTCGTTATCAACAATAGACGTTCATTAAAATTGCCGCGTGTTTCTAGATCTATCACTTTTGCTCTTCTACCTTGCTGTTTTTCGTTTGGTTTGGGCGATGCGCACTGCGCTGAGCTGTCAGGCGTGGCCAAGAGCGCTTTCGGCTTCCGTCCACGTTTTTTTGGTATTTTTATAGGTGTCTCAAACTCAGTTTTTGCTTGGCTCGCATTCATAATTTCAGTTATGTTTATACTCGAATTTGGTAGCGTCACGTTTAAATCTTGCTGGCAACTTTCTTGCGTTATGTCAACAGCTTTCTCCGCTTCCGAAACATCGTTATAAATCATAACTTCGGTTTCATTCAGAAGCGCTGACTTTGGTTTTCGTCCACGCTTTTTACGCACTACTGGCGTACTTTCCTCATCGTTCACTGTTTCATTCTTATCTTCTTCAACAGTTTCAACTGGCAATTTGCGCTTTCTTCCGCGTTTCGTGTTGCCGACTTCCGGTGCTGTTTGCGCCAATGGTGTTGACGTTGCAAACTCTTGTGGTGCGAATGTACTCAAATCAGCATCTTTCACCTTTTCCACAGCAAGTTTTCTACTTTCACTCATCTCCGTTTTCACACACTCATTCATTGAACAATCGACTGTCTTGTCCATCGATTCGGCATGTTCACTTTCAGTTAACACGCTTGACGTTGTTGCAGTGACAGCATTAATTTTTGGTTTCCTGCCTCGCTTTTTTCCTGACTTGGGTTGCACAGCTACGTTTCCAGCTTCGTTGATAACTGGTTCCTTCACGTCAAGTGTTTTTGAACGCCTTTCAAGCGCGCAAGATTCTTCATTATCCACTGCTTTCCTTTCGACTATATTCTCAGAAGTACCTCCTTCATTCTTATCATTTGTGACTTCATTTACAGCAGTGTCTTCCAAGGTTGATGCCGATTTCGAGACATTTGCTGGTGGCTTCACAGTTAGTTCAGCGATGCTTTGAGTAGAATTCGATGCAGATATATTTTCAAGTTTTGCATCAAAGCGTACTTTCTTACTTGGTGCTTGTAAAGCTTTAGGATTAGTTTTCTCAGCTACAGTATCAGCGTCAGTTGCATGTGCTACGGTATCTATACTATCTTCGGAAAATCTATTACGTTTCTTGCTGTCAGAAATCCTTGTGTCTGTTACATCGGTAGACAGTACTATTCCACCTTTTATTGAGCTTTCCTTCTCTTCTTCCCTGTCCATGGTTTTCCCTTTCTCGCTATCACTTGTATGAGTTTTAATTTTGTTCATATTTTTGTCCGACTCTTTAGATTGACTTGGTGCTTGAGAGCTAGGTTCATCATCTTCTTCTTCGTCATCGTCCGCCGGCGATGTGTCATCGGTTATATTTATGTCATCATCTGATTCATGTAAAACTCCCCAACGCTTCTTTAAGGGCACACTACGTCGATTCGTTGGCTTTCGCCTTGATACAATGTTTGACTTTCTCGTCGTAGTCTTACCAGTAGTCATTGAGCTTTTTACTGAGCTATCGCTTAGCGCAACGTGTGGGCTCTCACGCTCCGCAGTGCTGTGGTCTACTTCACGTGTTTTTGTCTTCTCAGCACTGGTGGTTATTGTGAGTATATGTTTCAGATTACTTTCAATATTATGTGTACTTGGAGAATTATGATTGAATCCGAGAAAATCAGTTTTTATTTTTACAGGCTTTTCAGCATCTTCAGTTGATGGAGTGTTTGCTTTCGCCACCTTTTCATCGAAAATTTGTTCCATTAGCTTTTCTTCGGTTATCACATGTAAAATATCACAGGTTTTTGAAGTTTCTTGAACTTCTTCTGCCTCAGTTATTGCGGAATTTGTTGAGACTTCAAAATTCGCTGTATTGGGTTGCGGCTTGTTTTCTGTGTGCTGCACTGTGTTGCTAAGTTGATCAGTCTTTTGCGCACAACTTTTCTGTAACTTCGCTTGAGTGTGATTTTTCTCTAAGTTACCTCCTGCTTCCACTACTTCCCGGTGTTTTACGATTGTGTTATCAGAGCTAAGTTTTTCAGCCTCGCTGGAATTGGGCTCTTTATTAAACTTAGTCAAAAGATTCTGTATGCCTTTTTTGGTTTGTTGATCAGCATCCGCTTCTATTTTAGTCTTCTTAAATGGATTTTTCGCCGGCGTTAATTTAGTTTCCGCTGTTGGAGCCTTTACAACACTCAGCAGAAGATTAGTAGTAGAAGAAGCTTGTTTAATTGGTACATCGCATAATATATGGGATTTGGTATCAGAACCAACGGATTTTCGCTTAAGTATTTTAGGTGAATGCCGAATAACCGAACTATTGGTTATTATCTCAGTTTTGCGCTTTAGTTCGTCTGATTTTAATGGCGATTCGTTAGCAGTGGTTGTATGTGGCACAGCAATTTCTGACACGACAACTTCATTAGTTGCGCTCTCACTTTCCGGTGTAGATAACCCGTTAGTACACTCGGTAACTAGCACATGTTCGGTAATTACACTTTTATTTACTTCAACATTTGCAGTCAAAGTGTGCGATAATGTCTCTGATTTTCTTTTCCCTTCCCTATCAAAATTAGATGTGGCAGCGATCTGTGCTATCGCAGCTTCTTGCTCATTTAGTTTTTTATCTTCATTAGTCTTTTCTACCCCTTCATCTGTCTGTCGGCACAACTTAGATGTCACAGCCGTCTCTTCTATAGTAGTTTTTTTCTCATTTAGATCTTGATCTGAAGTTGCTTCGTTGCTATTTTCAGAAAGCGATTTTGTTTCCTGTTTCTTTACCGATGCACTTGACGTTGTCTTCTTACGTTGTACTAAATTGATTTTGCCTTTCATAAAGCGTGGTAATCGTCTTGGCGCAACTTTTGAATTTTCTCCACCAGCAGGCGTCACATTTTCACTGGAGACAACAATCTTGTCATTATTCAAGTGACTGGTAGGCTCCCGAGTCAATATGGAGCTTTCTGCTGTCATGACTTGTGATTCGGTTTCTATTTTAGTATTTTTTGCGACTATTTCCGTGTTAGTTGTTTCCTTTAGCTCTTCTTCACTTGCAGTCAAAGCGTTGGGCTTTTGTGGACTGAGCACTTTCTCCACTTTTATTAGGCTAACATTTGCATTGACTTCGACGCTTTCGGTATTTTTATCACCCACGTTTATAACATCCGGTATTGCTGCTGTTGTTTGAATAGTCTCTGCTGTGTTGGCAGTAGCCGGTTCCTCCGATATTTTGCACAAATCAGTTTTGTCAGCGTCAATAGCACCTTCCTCTACCGTCGTGCTGTTTTGGACCAACGCTTCACCCTCGGTGGGTAATATTTGAATTTGACTGGTATCTGGAACTTCAGCGCCAAGAGTTTTATTGATTTCTCCAATATCCGCAGAGTTATCTATTGCTTCAATTTCAAGATTTTTAACTATAATTGGACCAACTGTCGATTCAGTTAAACTGTCAGTTTGGACAATGTCGAGATTATTAACATTTTCCAAATTATTCACTTGTGATTCCTCTTGCATAGTGTCGAGGCGTTCAGTACTCTTCGTAAGTTTAAATACTTCTTGTGTGCCGATATTTGTTTGTTCATTATTGATATCTAATTTGGTTGAGGCAGCGACAGCGTTGAGAATATTCTCTTCACTGATAGTTATGATTTTACCGATTTGCACGTCATCGGAAGCCATTTCGGGTTCAAATAACTCGGACAATGTTTCAGCATTTGGCACATTACAATCTTCGAATACATCCTGCTCAATTAGTTCACCCTTTAAGCTCTCTGTTCTATCCCTATATGGAATGCGAAGAGGTGAAAAATTCATTGCGAATGAAGCATTCAAATTGAGCTCTTCCGGCGAGAGTTCGAGTTTCATATCCTCAGTTATAGGGTTTTCAGCTGCCAACGAAGCAATGAAGTCAACAGCTGATATCGGCGAGTCTGATTCATCGCCACTGTCCAGCACACAAACAGCAGATTTATTGTGTGGATTTTGATTTGAGCCGATTAATTTCTGTGGATTTGGTGGCAAAGGATTTTTGAATTGTGAAACTACAACATTTTTAGGCGCCTGGTAAATAGTAGGTGCGGAAACTGCTGCAGTTGTAGTTACAAAATCTTTGTCAGTAGAAGTTGAAAGCACTTGCTGTGCATTGCTTTTATAAATTTCTGATAACTGTGACACGGGAATGTTTGGGGTTGGACTTTTTGGAGTTACGGTTGGTTTTTCTATTGAAATTGTGTTATTGCAAAGCACTGGCAAGTCTACGCTTGCTGAATTTTCTGCTGGTTGTGTCACTGTTGGACATGTTTGGGAGCTACTAGCATCATTTATGTTGCTTTTACTCAACACTCGCACGTTTTCATTTGGCTTAACCACATTTTCAGCTTTACGAACGACAAGAAAGTGCTTCGATGAATTTGCGTTTTTTAATTGTATCGCCTTAACAAGCTCAGCTATCTTATCCGAAGACAACTTCAGTTTATCCATCGATACAATCGTGCGATTGTTGAGTTTAGCGCCTTTCTGTGGCAACATATTTTTTACGGGTGAAGGCGTGATGGACACGATTTGCGTTTGAGAAATTTGTGCCGCTTTCTGCGCAATGCGTGTAGTAGCTTTTGTTTCATTTGCCGCCATTGTTACGCCTGGCGTTGACTTTATTTTCGGTGTACCAAAGCCTAATGCCGTTAGATCAATCTTTTCATCTTGTGATAAAACTTTATTCTCCAATACAATCAGACTTTTTGGAGTTTGTGTTACAGGTATGGAAACAGCAGGTGTTACGAAATATGTATTTTTCAAGAAATTATCGCTTGTTGGTTCTGTGGTATCGCCTTGTGCCGGACCCATTTGACCTACTTTAATCAACGTTGTAGGAAACGGTGTTTTGAATGTGGAAATTTTTGGTAGAGGTAAATCTTGCGAGTGTGTAACGACAGGAAATGGTTTTTTTAATGGAGAAAATAACGGAAAATTGTTAAATTGTGACTGGTCACTGTTTTGGTTGTCAAGCGCGTCATCAGTAGTGGCTTTATCGTTCAACGCTTGTGTTGGCTGCTCTAATGGATCTTTATTGACTGTTTTTACTATTTTTGCTTCGCTCGTTGGATCTATATTTTTGTCTATTACTAACGGCAAAGCTTTGGCTTTCTCTCTTGGTTCTTGCAATTGTTTTGTGATATTTGCATTATCTCTATTAGACACGTTTTTATGGTTGTTCTGTACCGGTAGTTTCTTGCAACGTATAGTGGCTTTAGGTATTTCCATTGTATTAAGTGGCTTGTCTGTAGTTTGTACAGGGTTTTTACGCATTGTTACATTATTAATGCGCGCAACCAAACGTGCAACATCGACAGCACGTGTACCAACAGTTTCCTCCTTTGTGGGCGACTCCTTGCGTGCATTTAAAGTGTAATTTCTTATGTGTACTGAACTATTAGTGATGACCTTTTCTACTTTATGCTCATTGGCGTTGGGAGTCGACACAGTTGTTGCACTTGCAGTAGCAGTATCTGCACTAAAATCGAGTACACGTGCTACATCTTGGCGAGTTTTAGCTGGTGATGGTTTTTTCGGTTGTTGGTCTTTGGGTATGTTTATAAACTCTTCCATTTCTACTTTAGGCTCAATCCAGGACATTTCTGTTGTTGTTGGCGTATGTTGTGATGGTGATATGCTTGCAATTTGTGGCGATTGTGGTGATTGCGGAGCCTGTACAGCTGCCAACTGTTGCCGTTTCAAAATCTTACATTGCAATATATATTTCACATTCTCTAAGCGATGCTCGGGCACTATCCGTACTGTATGAGGTTCTTCGCCGGGACGCGTTATGGTTATCTTCGGTGTAACAAAAACTTTCCGTTCAACGTTAGGCGACTTGGAAGCTGTAAAATATTATTTGGGCTTATTTAAAGACACTCAAGTATAGTTTCAGTTTATTTACTAATTTTTTTATTTGCGTTATTTGCAAATACAATATATGTAGTTTAGGAAATCAATACACATTTTTGTATATATGTATGAATTAATTACATTTTGTAATAATAGTCTATTAGGGTACATATGTATATACATACATTTTTAACTCGCTTTATTTAATTTCACATTTTCTGCTATTTTAGCGAATAAAAATATTATAGAAAATATAAACCACATCTTTAATATTTAACCACCCATAAACAGGATTCGAACTATGACCCCTAACACCGTCGCTGTTATTTTCACTCCCACATTTCATACCTAAGCCAGCAAAGCATGCCAAAGTTTTGGACCGAATGCTTCATTTGTAGCAATTATTTTGAAAGTGAATTAATAAAAAAAAATGTTTACATTTTATTTGTTCATTTTAAACATAAAATATATCAATGTCATGTACTTACTGTGGCAACATGGTTAAATCTACACATACATGTATAGATAGTTCTTTACAACCTAAATACTATTTATTATTTTAAGGTTTATTTAAAATGTTTATCATTTTTAATGACAATTTATTAAAAACAAATGGAAAATGTGTTGTTTTTATTGTTGTAACAATAAAACAATATTTTTTGTGAATGCTGCGACGGTGACAGTAATTTCATAAATTCGTCATTGGCACAGCTGTTCAGAAAGTAAGCAAACGCACTTTGCACTTTCTTACACAATTTTCCGTCATAAAACCTATATGATGATATATAAAAAACGAATAAAAAATGTGTAGGTAACTACTACGGTAAAGCTGAAATGCAACCACGCCTCGAACTTGCGACCCACAATTTCACGAACAACAACACTAACTACTCAGCCAGGCGTGCATGAAATATATTGTGGCTAAATGTTTGACATACTATAGATTTTAAATCTAAATACTAAATTTATTAGTTTTAAGGACTCAACAATTTTTTGTGGCATGTTGGCTTTTGATATGTATTATGAAGACCTCACTTACCCGTGGTAGCCGTAATTGTTTTATTACTAGGCGTCACATTAATTTTTTGAGTAACCAATTTTTCCGATGCAGATGGTACTAATAGACAATTTTTAAATGATTCCAGTGGTTTTATTGGAGAAAATAATTGTGGTGTTGCATTAGTTGTATTTGGCGTTGATGTGCTTGTTGCAGTGCATGTTGTAGTTACAGTTGCCTGTGCAGACGTTGCCGTTAATGACGAAACTTCGGTTTGCATTGGTTTATTAGCTGGTTCGGATGCCTCATTTCGTTGCAACTTATGCGAATCCCAATCTTGTACACGTTTCTTCTGTTCCTTAGCCAATACCTTTAGCTTGTGTCTGCCTATTGCTTCGGCCAATTTGCGATCTAAACCAGCTTGTTGCAATTTTTTTGGATCAATTACCATAATTTTGCGTATGACGCGTTTGCTACTGTTAGAATTTTGACTTTGGTTAGAGACTGTTGAATCCATTAAGGAAGTTGAATCATGGGTCTGACTCAATTCCTTAACGGTATTAGGCTTTTGAGATTGACTTTCGCTCACGGAATTTATTGCCCTTTCATCATCATTTGTTGTTGACATGACGGATAATTGATCATTTTTGGTACTAACATATTCAGTGGTACTATCAGCAGTCTGCTTAGAATTTGTTGCTGCTTGGCTATCCATAGTAATCACACTGCTTACTGCAACAGCTAAATTTGTTGTTGCATTACTTTTTAGCGACTCACTATCACTCATATTTAACTATTAAACCACTTTTTTCAACTTTTATTTTTTCATTATACATATATATTACATCAGCTTCATGCATCAAACAAATACGCGTTTTTGACCACTTCACTTGTAGTAATATTTCATCTAGGTTTCGAGGAAAACACGAGAATAGAAATTAATGAAATGCACGTTCCTCTTAAACTATAAAAATTAAACACATCAATAAATTAGATCCGTTTTACAATTTTGTATTTAATTCAGTATGCACAAGACGATATTTAACATCTTAATTAATTAACTTTTAAAGGTTTTATCGCGCACCTCGTTGTCTGCTGTCTATTGAGAAATTCTGGCTAATGTCACAAATTACGGCGAAAATGTTTAAGCATGGGCCATAACACAGGGTGCATACAGAAATTTTGTTTCCAGAAAATATTTAAAAATTTGTTGTATATACAATGAACTAGTCTCAGTAAACAAAGAAATCAAAAATGCAGAATAGTATATTTGTACATTTAGCTAATAGCTCACCAATATTTATTTTGTATTATTCGATTGATTTTAATGGTTAAACATTTTTACTACCTGACTTGAGTAAATCAGTCCGGCATTGCCGTTGAACTGTCATAAAGAATGGAACGAAACATTCAATGACATTTTCATCACTATTTTCGACATATTGTAAAATGTCAAACTACACAAACGAGACACATTAAATTAATGTTATTACTTTTTAATAAAATATAGAAGTATTTTTATTACTGTGCACCAGCCTAGAAAATGGATTTTCAAAATAGAGCCGGTGGCAAAACCGGCAGCGGTGGAGTTGCTTCTTGGTCGGAAACAAACCGTGACCGCAAAGAGCGACTACGACAGCTTGGTATGTTATCCACTATGCTTTTGTTGATTACTTATATACTTATTTTTCTTATAAAGCTTTGGAAACAATTGACCTGAATAAGGATCCATATTTTATGAAGAATCATTTGGGGTCATATGAATGTAAACTTTGTCTAACACTTCACAATAATGAAGGAAGTTATTTGGCACATACGCAAGGAAAGAAACATCAAGAAAACTTGGCACGGCGAGCAGCAAAAGAAGCTAAGGAGGCGCCGTCCATGCTTGCACCGGAGAAACCTCGAGTTGAACCAAAAAAATTTGTTAAAATTGGTCGTCCAGGCTACCGCGTGACTAAACAACGTGATCCTAGTAATGGTCAGCAATCTTTACTATTCCAAATTGATTATCCTGAGATCACTGAAGGAATCATACCACGTCATCGCTTCATGTCAGCTTATGAACAAAAAATAGAACCTCCAGATCGTAAATGGCAATATTTGTTATTCGCTGCAGAGCCATATGAAACGATTGCTTTTAAGGTGCCATCTCGAGAAGTGGAAAAAACCGAGGGTAAATTTTGGACACATTGGAATCGTGACACAAAGCAATTTTTTCTACAATTCTCCTTTAAATTCGAACCAAAAATTATACCACCTCCTCCACCGCAAATGCATCGCGGTCTTGGCCCCGCGGGTGGTTTCCCGATGCCGGGACCGCCGCGCCCTCACCATATGTTCAATGGGGTACCACCACCACCTCCAATGGGTGTATTACCTGTACCGCCACCACCCATGTGAGACGAGGAGACAACTCCCGTCAGCAGTGGTAACGGTTAACTGCTGCGGAAGTTGTAAAAATTTCATTTAAATCATTAAGCTACGTTTAATAGAAATGTCAAATAAATGAAACGTCAACATTTTTTATTAAAAAAGAACAAAATACAGTATTTGTATGAGATCTTTCTATTACCGGTTGCCCAAGTTATAGCTCACTTCTTCTAGTTGTTTAACTTGAACTTTTGGAACAAAATGTTAAAACTTACATCCTAGCGAGAAATATTCAGCTCAGCCTTACACTAAAATCTTTTAAAAATTTAGTACCAGTAGTAGCTTAGACTCTAAATTAGGAAAAAGTAAATTTAATTCTTTCTTTTGTCATTTAATTTCAAAATATTTTGATACGAATGCATCGAATGAAAACTATTTACTGTGAATTAAGGTTGCTATTGTTAAAAAGTATGGTATGGTAGCTTTCTCACAATCACAACAACATATATTATGATAGGTTTTATTAACATCTTTTGATCTTTTTCTTTTCCTTAGATTTAACGTTTTTCTTTCAACGCGAAACGTTAGGAAATGATAAATATAAATTCATGCTTCTTCCATCCGGTAGCACCATTTGGCAAATTTCACTTATACCACTCGTTCCTCTTTGTATGTTTCGTTTCAGTATACGGCAGACATTTTCAAACTACACACATAGAAAAGTGACCGTATGTAGACGAGGGAAAAGCTAAAATTTTCCAATTAAGATTTCAGTAATCAGTGATAATTATAAAATTCAACAAATATAGTGTTAAACTAACATTTGCTGAAACGTTTAAATAAAAGCAAGGTTGGTAGGAGTTTATAAACCACCGCGAGGTGATTTTAAAGTGATAGTCGTAAAAATATATGTACCTACCTGTATTGTACGAATTTAGATAAACGTATTGTGTGTGCGATTGATATTTTAAGTACAAAAAATTTGTTTTAGCATTTTTATCAATAAATATACTGCGTTTTTAAATAAAATGAGTTCGGTGGATGCGAGTGGTGGAACTGGTGGAGGTGGCGCACCTGGACCCGGAGGTAGCAGTGTAGGGGGTGGTGGTGGTGTTGGAAGTGGTGGGGGACCTGGAGGTGGAAATTCAAATGGAACCATAAGCACCAATTTGGCTGGTATGGGATCAACGCAGCCAACAACAGGAGGTGAGTGCATACAAGAAGTTTAAAAATTTTATATTAGCGTGTAAGATTAGCGCCATAAATATACATATTTGACACAAATTTACACATGTTTGGTTATAATATGTACTCTTAGCTCTATATGCATATATATGAAATACTGTGATTGCCTTCATTTATCGCAGTTTTTATAGTATATTTTGTGTGTGCGTTTGCTATTGTCTATTATTTGCTTGTGTACTCGCTTTCTGTACCAAAACCCTTTCCCGTAGTTCCTCTCCATTCCAATTTGTGTTATCGTTGCAGTGTGTCGTGGCTTGAAAAATCCCATATTAATTTGGGTTGTCATATAAAAATATATAGAATTTCATAATGGAACATAACAATATTTATACCTTAAAAGAAATTGTTGTTATTGTAGAACTAAAAAAACTAAAATCAAATCCTTGTTATTAATTAATAATCAATATGAAATTTAATACTGTTTCTAGAATTTATTTAAAACTTGTAACATAAAATTTTATTATTGGTATTATACCATTCATACCATTTATGTATTAATTATAATTATACCCTAAACAAGGTTTATTAAAATTGCCACGAAATTTATAACACCCAAAAGGAAACATCGCAGACCATATAAAAACCGTAGCTATGTCAGTCTGTCTGTACTAGTCCTTCAGTTTTTTGCGATATCGATTTGTAATTTTGCACGCGTCCTTTTCTCCTTATAAAGGTGCTCATTTGTCGGAACCGCCAATCTCAACCAATACAGCATTTAGTTACCATACAAATTGAACAATCACAATGTTGTCATTGTATGGAAAACTTTTTTATTTGTTGTGATAGCCCAGAAAAAATTGTTCAGATTGGACCACTGTAGCATATAGCTGGCAAAGAAACTGACCGGTCAAAATTAAGTTCTTGTATGAAATCTTTTGTATATGTGAAGGGTACGGTAGTTTCGGGCCAACCGAAGTAAACGTGTTTCTTGTTTACATTAAAAATAGGAAATTTTTAACATATTAATTTTAACAATTCGTAACATTCGATATTCGAGTTAAAATGTCAAAAATAGTGTTCCATGTGATTAGTTGTATTGTAAAAATTTTCACGCAAAATTCTACAACTTGTTATCTTTGTTTTGCTTGTATAATTCTTTCACAGAAGCACAAAAAAACATAAAAACCCATTTCATACAACCTAACCTCATTCAGCAAATTGAACAACATCAGGCACCAGTGCATTCAACAGTGTCCGCTATCCAATCACCAATGACATCAACTATTACGACTACAACAACTTCAATTGCAAGACACCAACAACAAACGCACAATCTTCCTATACTACCCAATCCCTATACAACAAAATCATGTTCAAATAATTTACAAACTCCTCCCATCCATTCACCCGTACACACTGCACACTTACCTACAAGTGATATTCATTCCCATTCACACAATCAAACCCATGCTTACAGTCAAAGCCATACTCATCAAACACCCCTGCAGTTTATTAAAACAGCACAAATCCATCCTTTTTCTTTTAATCCAGTTTCAGCAAAAATTTCACATGGCAATATGGTGAATACTGGCGCTACTGGCGGTAGCAACCTACAAATTGGTAGTAACGTCGTGAGTGGCGTTAGCACTATAATGACCAGCAGTGTTTCAACAGCTGGAGGTATTAAAATGACTACAGCTGGTGGAGCTATAGCGACATCCATTGGCGGAACACCTATTGCCCTCAATGTAGCACAATCGTCTTCAGCTATACGTACTATCGGCGGTGGCGGACAATCGACACAGGTGCGTGTTGTCATGCCCACCAATATTATACCGATCAAACAATTCGAAGGTGCCACAGGTGTTGGTCGTACGCAAATTACAGCTATACCAGCGGGGGTTACGGGCGTTACTTCTCGCACAGTGTCTAATACATCTATAACTGTAACGAGGCCGGTCACGCAAACAACATATTTGCCGCGAGCGGGTGTAACAGCCACACAAATGACAGCTGTGGGTTCGGGACAAAGGCTTGTAACACCAATACGTACAGGACCGGGTTCCGGATCAATGGGTGCTGGTGCAACAGTTACGGGGCTAACAGCAGCAGGTGGCTTTGTGCGGGGTACTGCCACAACCGTCAATCGTAATACATCATCGCCAGCTACGTCAGTAATTTCTCCGGCAACTAGTACGACTTGGATGCAAACTAATACGGGTGGACAAGTGCAACTTATAAGAACCATACCACAGCCAACACAAAAACGAATAATCACTGCGCAAGGCATGACCACAACTAGTGGTGCCTACAGCAACACTGGTATTAGCGGTGGCCTTGGAACATCGGTTAGCGGTACAGTGCTTGCAAGCACGCCACCCACAGTTGTACAGACAGCTGGCGGCGGTCAAACGCAAACACAGCAAGGTCAAGGTGCACAATGTAAGTTTGAAAAAAATGCTTTTCATGTTTTTTTTTTTTGCCTAACAAAATTGTTTTAATTATTTTTAAATAGCTACGATACAAGCAGTGCCATCATCTGGAGTGGCACATAGTCAGTCACAGTCACAGCAACAGCAAACGTACGTTGCTACATTAGCTACTGTTTTGCCACCACGCCAACATCAAGCCACATTAGTTTATTCATCAAATGTAGCGGCAACGTCACAACCCCACACGCAGCAAACGCAACAGTTCAATCCGACACTAGCAGCTGGCCAGCGACTTGCTGTTGCTACACAGCTCTCTGGCGCAGGTACTTCCGTGGCCGGAACAACATCACGACAAATACGCCCAATACCGATACCGAAATCTTTCTCCGCCGCCAAGTTGAACACGACTAGCATAAGTATACGTGCACCAAATATAACCTCTACAATTCAACCGGTCGGTAGTGGTGGTGTGGTCGGTAGCGGTATTAATTCTGTGGTGGGGTCGGGCAATACAACTGCTAGCAATTCGCCACGCAATACAACTATGAGTGGCGTAACTACAGGTGTTGGCAACAACGTCATACCGACATCGAATTTACCTACCACTCGCATAATTCAGTTGCAACAACAGCCGGGAAGTTCTACACAGCCTATAATTGGCTCAACGGGTCGCATTTCGGGTAATGTCATGTTCCAGCCCATCATTGTCAATACATCAGGAACTGGGAAACTCGGTAAGTGTGTTGGTAAAAAAAAATATTATTATTTGAGACAATAGTACAAACTCCGAAGAAATTGTTTAGTTCGGTCCATTATAACTAATAGCTGCCAAAATCACTGTTTGGTAAAAATTCAGTCTTTGTGTTAAAAACATTTATTTGACCAGATATCTTCATGAAATTTGACATTTCAATCTTCGAAACAATTGTTCAGATTGGACCAGTAAGCATATAAATGCCATACAAACTGAACGATCAAAATCAAGTATTTGTATGGAAAACTTTTTTTGTGAAGGGTATTCTAGCTTCGATGCAACCGAAGTTAACTTTTTTTTCTTGTTTACAGTAAATTTATTGAAATAATATTTATATATCGTCTAAAATGACAGTGTAAGGATTTCAGACATCCATCCAGCTAATATATAACGAACTATTACTATTACAATCACATGAAAGTCATTGAATCAGCAAAAGTGTTATATTGTATTTGCTTTAAGTTAAGCTGATGTGAATGTTATTCGCACTTTTATCGCAACAAATTCAATATATTTACTTATATCAATAACTACAAAAACAAAGCAGTGTTTATTATTTTAAGTAAACTGAGCATAAATAGCAATATAGCACTCTTATCACACCATTTGTTTTGAATGTTTTTCTAAATAGTATCTGGTCTACGGCAACCGGTCTCGATGACTGCTAAACCTTCACTGACCATAACACCATTCGGTTTGGGTAAGTTACCCACGGCCGGCGGAGGCAATGCTACGCAAATAGGCGTCAATTTACCGCCACAACAGAACGTAACAACGAGTATACAATCAACGTTAGGCGGTAATAATAGCGGTGGCGCTAGTGGCGGCAACTGTTCACCTGCTTTATCTTCAACTACGCCCACTTCAAGTTGCGGTGGCGTTACAAATCTATCTACAGCACAACTTGTGAACGTTTCGCAGGCAGCAGCAGCAGCTGGCCAACTGTTAACCACACAGAACATTGTTTCATCAGGCGCCGGTGGTGGCACCACAGTTCTGCCATTAGCCATAACGACACGCGGTAGTAATATTCTAACAGGCACCATAACCCCACTGAAGAATGCTGGCGCTATAACCGTGGGAAAAGTGATGAGTGCATCTAATACAAGCAATTTGGATAACAACAGCGTTTCAAGTGGCGCTAGTATTATAACAAGCAGCGCTGGACCACCAAGCGTTTACATACATCAAGCGAACACAGCGCAGCGCACGCATGCCACAAATTTACATGCGGCTTCGTCAACTTCAAGCAACAATACTACAGTGCTCACTGCAGGTGGTGGTGGTGGTGGTGTTGGTAGTGGCGGCAGTATACCCACCTCAGCTGGTGCGTTTTTGCCACCAGGCGGCACTATTTATTATGAATCTGTGCCTGCTAGTTCAGTACAAGTGTCCACTGGTGTCCTATCGCTCACAACCACCACAGCAACAAGCAGCACTTTGCCAATAACGCAAAATCAATTGGTGAATGCGGTGTCCGCCTCCAATTTGGCAATTTCATCATTACCCTTCGCTGCATCTGCAGCTTCGCACGCTGCAAATTCAACGGCCACATTTACTGTGGTGCCATCAACAGGAGGACGTTCCATCGGTCAATTACAAATACCGGTTTCCAGTGCGGCAGGCTCCCAAATTCAGGCTGTGCCGCTGCGTTTTAGCGCACAATTGCCTGCAGCTCCTCAGGGTGTCGCCAATGCCAGTTCCTCCAATACAATATCAGCTGATTCGATTTCCGTGTCGCAAGCAACGCAACAATTGTTGCAACACGGTGGTGTTACCAGTGGACAACAGCTTATTATACCAGCTTCAGTAGCTTCAGCCGGCCACCATGTTGGCAATAGCTCAACCACGGCAACACTAACTGGAGCGCAGGGTCAGCATGTAGTAATACCGCTGCAAACGTCGATTAAAGTGACAGGTGGTGGTGCAGGTTCAACTGTAGTTTCCAATTTTCTACGAAAGCGTGATGCAGATGGCTCTCCTATACGCGCTGCAAAAAATCTTGCACCTACATTACTCTCCATGGGCAATAGTAGTGGAAATGTTAGCGGTGTCTCCGTTCTAACCAATGTCACGGGTTCGCCAGCCGCCTCTTCGGTGGGCAGCGCATTCAGCATCACGTCTGTGGCATCATCAGTAGCATCCTCAATGGGTTCGGCACAAACGACGACCTCATCCACACTGACAACGGAGGCATTGGCTAAGAAGGATCGTGCGCAGGCCGCAGTGTCTAGTGGTGCCATTGGCGGCCAGCGTGTGGCGCGTGGCGAGTCTCCTGCTTCATCAGATGGCTCGACAACGGTATCGGCAAATTCATCACCGGGCGTAGAGCAACAAATGCAAGATGGTAATATGATGATGATAAATCATATTACACAAGGGCCAAACGAAGCCACACATTTTAATCCCATCAATGAGGTAAGCCTGTTGTTTCCAAGTATTAGCTAAAATTTGCATTAATTTTAACAAATTATCGTAAAAATGTTTCTTACAGATGTACGCAAATCACCATGGAAATGTCAACGTACCACATAACGTACTGTTGAGCGGTATATCTGTCACACCGAGCAGCTCACGCACATCCTCGCTGGATCATCATCCGCAATTGCATGTACCGTTGGCAACAAGTACTGCTCGTCTCAATGGTGGGCCCGTTGAATGTTCGACGCGCAAGCGAAACAGACGTTCAACGTAAGAATGTGAAGCATAACATAAAATACAAATCATAATTATTTCTCTCTCATTCTTTCTTCATCCAACAGCAATGACAGTCAACTTTCGAGTCATAGTCAAAGTTCACTTACTCTCCCACCACCAACAGCAACTGGGGTTGCCGCCAGCAATATGAGTAATAGTAATAATAGCGGCAACAATAGTCATTATGAGTTGTCGACTGCGACTGGCAACGGCGGCATGTTGTTAGCACCAGTACACGGCTCAATGGCGCCTGGCGCTGCTGGCAGTGCGGCATCACACCAATATGATGGCAGTAGCGCTAATACCAACGCGAGCAATGCCAATGTTGTGCATAATAGCAGCGGCAACCATAAAAATAACAATCTGCCGCCCACCACAGGCAATAAGGAGAACGCCAAACCAACAGAGTTTACATTACGACGACCGCGTAACTTCTCGCTGCTGCATGTAAGTTGAAGTCAATTTTGTCAAGTATATCAAAATATTTAAATGTTTTCTTTTCGCTTATCACACAGACTTATAAGCAAAACTGGAAGACGGCCAACAATCATTTTCAGCGTTACACAGATGTTAAACCGCGCGAAGAACGCCGGCCTACAGTTATTGATTTGGCCAATCAGACGAATGTTATGGGCAAACTTAATGGCTGGAAAATCCACCATTTGAGCTCGCAAATGGAAGACTTGGTACGTGAGATAATGTTAACATCGCGTTGGTTTATTTCACATGCTACTTAATTTTCTTTCAGTGTGAGAACGAATCGAATGGACTAGATCAACTCAATAATATGTTGAAACAAATGGAGACACATGAAAAAAATCCCGAAACCGAGCGCATAAACGAATTGTTGAAGGTACCACATTTATCGCACATTTATTTAACTTTTTAATATTGTTAATATATGATTTGAATATAATGTAACTTATTGCTTGTTACCTCTACTTTCTTCCTCTTACAGGGCAACATACAGCGCAGCAAAATTATTGTAGACGGCATTCATGATGCACAAAGTCAGATGATGAAAATTTTCGAACATAAATCGCACATATCGGACATATTGCAACGTTGCGCATCAAAGCGTAATTTCAAAAAGCGTGAAAAATTTTAAATATTATATTATATTTAAAGCGGCATTAGCATTTGTAAAAAACTTAACGTTATTTAAACATAAATTTAAGAAATCTTAGTTTATAAAGCAATATAATAATCATTAAGTTATACATAAAACAACTGCTGTACGATCTTTATAAATGTACATATATATATATACAACCGCATTATTTAATTATTATCATTTTTTTTAATGAAAGATTGCAAATCAAGCGTTTGTACAAAGAAAGCTTATTGTACATAAATATGTATGTAAGATACTCTGTCTGCGTGTTTACCATTTTGCAACCAACTTTCGTAAAAGGCTAAAAAATATGCTTTTGTATTAATGCCTAAAACTATATGTTCTGTTATACAAACCTAGAATTTGCACAAAAAATTATTTAAGTTACTAGGTTTTTAATAAAGAAAATTGTAAATTAGTCAATAAGCTTATCGCCTGTAATTAATAAATAATCTCTGCGGCCTACGAAAGCAATCTGGAAATAAAAACTTACAGCTAATTGTAGATAACAAAAAATATTTATATATATATATATATGTCGTTTTAAAAATAATAAACAGAAAAGGCCCCCATAAATTAAGTTGGAAAGTTTATAGAGTTAAATAAATGTTACAATTTTAATTAATTTAATTTTTGCCTATCCTTTGAGGGCGCATTTGCTATGGGAATTTGTAAACTTTGTTATTCATTCAAGGTTTACGAAATAAGCTGAATTTTAGCTGGCAACTGCAACTCAAAAAACATAAAAATCCGTAATGAAAAACGGTAAAAATCTATTTTTTTCACATTTTCAAAGTTTAACTATTTAAGCATATGTCTACGAGTGGATTTTTGAAAATTTAAATTATTTTCGGAGATATAGACATTATACTGACCCGGCCTTCAAACCGGTTCGGCTGGGTCTAATCGAACAAAAAACTTTACGCGAAACTTAAATGCGTTCTCTCAGACCAGTCTTTTTCAATACGATACGCACGATTTCTACTGGACCGATTTACTTGAAATTTTCACAGAATCTTCTTTATAGACCTATCTCGAGTATGAATTAGCTTTATCCTTAAATTTCAATTTCTACTATTTTTAAAAAATACGAAAATATAAAAATAATCGTTTTTTTTTAAACAGTTGCCATTTTGTCAAAAATTATCATTTTTTACTTATTGCTAGTTCATACAATTGCGACATCATTACAAATTGATAATCTTTTTTTTCATTTTAGATGACTAGGAGGGTTTTTTTTTTATCGCCGGTTGAAATCATGGGTATGCTCATGTGCCAATTTTTTGAGACCCCCACTTCATCATCTGCCAGTTTTTTAAATTTTTAATTTTTTCCTGTACTCCTGTAACATTAATAAGTAACTGATAAAAAAATCGATAGTAAAAATGTTGATTGCCTTTTTCTTACGACACTTTAAAAATAACCTAAAGTTCATATCTCTAGACTAGAATACCTCCTTAACTTCAGTTGCACCGAAGCTAGAATACCCTTCACAAATAAAAAAAAAAAAATTCCAAACAAGACCTAAATTTTAATCGATCAGTTTGTATGGCAGCTATATGATATAATGAACCGATATTAACGGTACGTGTACAAAGTTTCAGATCGATATCTTAAACACTGAGGGAATAGTTCGCGTATAAACAGACAGACATACGGACATGACTAAAGCGACTCAGTTCAACGCGCTGAACATGTATATATGTATATATGTTTGTACTTTATAGGGTCTGCGACGTTTCCTTCTGGAAGTTACAAACTTCCTGGCAAACTTAATATACCCTAATCAGGGTATAAAAATTCGCTAACTACGGGTAATATATGTCACAATATTAAAATTTCTACCCATGCAGTGTTGCATTTGGTTTTATACACAACTAACCATACTATACCACGTGGTGAGTAATTATTGCATTCACAATTTGCCTGCCACTAGGTCTCTTTCCGGTTACTAAATCTTTTCACTGAACAGCTATTGGGCGGCACGCAACAGAGCATCGTCGAATTACGCGTTTATGGAAACTAAAACTTAATTAAACAGCAAAAACCTACAATAAGGCGCAAGGCATACGCGAAATTGTCAAAATCGAATGTATTGAGTGAATTTACTTAAATTTGCGTAATGAATTCACTTAAAAGGTAAGCAATAGTGTACAATTATCGGCTTGTTTAAAGATAGAATTGCTGGGAGATAAATTAATTAAGTGTGACCTATTGCTGTGTATTATGGCAATTAGTAGCAGCACAATTTTATATAATTATATTGAGTAATATGCAAAATTGCACTTAGTAAGCATTTTAGGCGTGACACTAGCGTCACATTAGTTTTATACTAACCTAACTTTCACACCATTTTTATAGGGTTGTTAGGCTGTCGATAAGTAGAAGGCAGACAACAAAGCGTGTAGAGCTGTTAATACGGCAAATTTTTAGTTATAATTTGGCAAAAAGTAAGCAGTGTAGCTGTTTAGTTATTTAGAGAAAAACAATTATTAATATGATGACAATTTCATACCCACAACTGAGCTAAAATGCTGAATTTTTATACACATGCACTACCATCTGAATTGTAATTTACAGTGATTTAGTTGTTGTGCATGCTTTGTGAGTGGATAATATAATAATAAGTGGTTTTATTTACAGATGCTGAATAAGGAAGAGTGTTAACTACAGCGCAGGCTACCGAGTGAAGGTAAACTTACATTTGTATATACAATATATATAATACATAGCCAACTATATTATTTTCTATTTATCTTTTTAATTTGTATATAGCGTTTCGTATAGAAAAACTGTAGTGATGACATTTTCATACCCAAAACTGAGCTAAAATGCTGAATTTTTATACACATGCACTACCATCTGAA